ATTTTTTATCATCTAAACTTTGAATAAGTTCTCAAAATGATCTTTTCAAATTAAGTGGGTGGCGGCTAAATTATAAAAAATCGTGCAGGTAATTAATGTTTATTGAGCACTAATTAAAAAACGCTTTATTTGAAAAGACCATTTTGAGAATTCACTTTTAAATTTATAGTCAAAGTATAAAAGAGTTTAATTAAAAAAAAGTCAAATACTAATGATTTTTTTCAGAAAAAACCTAGAGATACTTCAAAAGTACACCAGTTTTTCATCACAGACATGCAAAATTACATAACTACCTTGTCAAATACAGAGAGTAGTGAATGTCTATGTGTATATGTGAGAAACTGATATAGTCTAGGATACACTGACTTGAAGTATCCTAGCAAATCCGCCCCCCCCCCCCCCTCTTTTGTTTTGAGGGAGGTAGTACTCCGCAGTGTTTTTAAACCCAGATTGATCGGATGGTCCGATCGGTCGAACAGCGACTCGGACACACAGCTTGTCCAGTCCAACCCCTGAAAACCCGAAAAAAACCGAGTTGACTCAGAAAAACTCGGAAAAACCCGTCCTTTCCTCCGGATCGACCTCCGGGCCAGGTNGGGGGGGGGGGGGGGGGGGGGAATATTAGTCCGTGTCTTCGACACTACACATGCATTGTCATTATTAACTCATACCTTCCCCTAAACTCTTTAATTTCTTGTACCTAGACAGCCTACTACTCCTACTAGTTTTTATTTCTTCAATTCATAGCGATTTTGTTTAATAGTCTTTGGTTTTTTGTAATCCTTTTTTGGGTGACATGTAAATATTATTAGTGAAATCAAAGTACAAAGAATAATCGTTTTGTGATCTCTTATATATGAGTTGTTTGTGAAACTATGCTAAGCAGACCTTTTCAAGTATTAGGTGCAAGCTTCAACTCTTTGTCACCAATCTGCAATTAAATTTTACTACCCCCGTCACATTTTAAATTGCCTGTTTGCCCTTTTTTTCCGTCCCAAAATAAGTTGCCTGTTAGTTGTTTTCGTAAACTTTTAAGAGTAAAATACTTAAACTAACTCTAAAATAAGTCACTCTTCTCCACTTTATCTTCTCATTCATCGTCATACCTCTTAAAAAGTACTGACAATTTCGAAAAATCAACTCTATTTTTTCTTTTCTTTAAATATGCCCGAAAGTCAAAACAGGTGATTTAAAACGGGACGGAAGGAGTAGTTTATAGAAATCATTCTAAATAGGACTAAAACATAAATAAAATTACTAAAATAGGATTTTCATATTTTTATTCCTGAAATAGGATTTCGCATTGTGGTAATGTGACACTGTACATGTGCACATTACTATACTTTTTGGTAATGTATATATGCATGACCATGTTTGGTAATTTAAATGCATTTTAAATCCAATTTCGAGAATAAAAACATGAAAGTCCTATTTTGGTATATTTTCAATATTTTAGTCCTACTTTGGTCATTCTCCCTTTAGTTTATCTCCTCTCAGTGACCGTCTGACTGGATCTGAAGGGGCCCTCAGGATTTGGGGTCCATCCTTTTTTGTATGAGTTGTTTGTAATTAATTCGTATAAGTAACCTTATACTCCATCTTCCAATAATACTAGTGTTAACTCCGTGTTTCGCACAGACTCATATATATTCTAAATTTTTGACATTCTATAAATATAATTCTATTTATTTTAGTTTATAATAGTGACAAAATATGTTTTGAACTAGTGTAAATTCCACCGGATAAGAAAAGTATGTAATCGGGTCGGGTTAGGGAGACCTGATCAGGTAAGTAAAGATAAGCACAAGAGTAACAAACACAACAAAGAATCACTTAAATCGGGATAAGTCTCCCGAGTCTCAATATATTTCTTACTTTTTCTCTAGAGTGTTCTCGGTATTGTGGAAGTAGAAGTGAATGTCCTCTCCTCTCTCTATCACATACTCCTTCCATCCCTGAAAACCTTGCTTCCTTTTTTCACTCGTCCCAAAAAACACTTCTTAATTCTATATATTAAAAAGTCACTTTTACCCTTTACTTTTTCATACCCTACCTATCACATCATACTTTTTTACTAATAATCTACCCATCAAATCCTACTTTTACCATCACATCAAAAGTCTTCTTTAGAAATTCAATACCAAAATACACTTCCCTTAAATCTCTTAAAAATCAATAACTTCCATATTTTTAGGACAGGAGGGAGTATTATTTATAGAGTAGAGGAGGCTAAGTAGGTGCATGGAAGCTGCTCACTTAAGAACAAACAATCAGACAGCATTCATCAACATACAATCAGAATATATGGATTGAATATAAATCTAGGATGGTGCCAAACGACTTTCCCACATTGATCTTTTGAGTGATGGTTGTGGGTCCCTCTGCAGATCTCCTATATACTAGGGTTTGGGGGCGGTGGATCCGTCCGACCGTGACCTCCAGGTCGTAACCCAAAAGTGCGACCGGTCAAATTGTATGCAACCCGAAACTTCATTCCTTAGGGTTTACAGGAAGTCCAGTGCAGTGACCAGTCACCTAACCCCGTGGGTAATCGGTCACCCAGCAAAGTCTCCAAAGTAGCTTCCAACGTTCATCCTTGAAGACGGAAACCATGACCGGTCACCTAACCTCGGGGGGTGACCGGTCGCCCAACATAACACCTTTGCCAAAATAGCTTCTAACATTTATGACCGAAACCGTTATCGGTCACTTAACTCCGGGGGTGACCGGTCATCCAACACTGTCTCCAAAATAGCTACAAAGCTGATGCTGGAAGACTAAACCTGTGACCGGTCACCTGACCATGTGGTTGACTGGTCCCCTCAGTACCGATGGGAATACCAGGGTATGTAATATACCCATCAGTATAGGACTTTTCTTGAGCGACAATCACATGTTTAAGTTTATGATTGAGTTAATTAGTTCTTAGATATCGTAACAAGTCTTGTTGATCATAGAGTCACGAGTTCGAATTTCACTTGCACCTAATTTAAAAAATTAGAATTTCTCGTGCAAGACAATTAGGGGTCACACCAGTTAGATTTAGCAATTTTGAAAATAAATTTAGTCTCAGCCAAACAAGTACGGAGTACGAACTTGAAATTGGCCGATAGGCAAAATCATGATTTGACAGTGTTAGAAAAATTGCTCCTAACAAAAAATGTGAAAGTTTTTTTTGTCCAATTCGAAAAGTGGTGTGGTTCGACTTTACTAAAACTACTTGCTAGAGATAATATATAAACTATATGCGCAAAATAAAATTTGTACATTTTTATTCAAAAAATATAACTCGGTACTATTACATTGTGACAACTTATACTCATTTTTTTTGGATATTTGATATTATATGTTGATATTATTGATATTATAGATTTTTATTTTAGCATATAAACATGGAACGCATAACTTTTTATGTTTTATTTTGTTTTTTTTAAATTTGTCTTCTACAACAACAACTACCCAGTTAAATACCACTACATATAGGATATAACATTAGGTGTTTTAGTGTATAAATAATACTACTTTCGTCCCAAAAAGATTTACACGTTTTGACTAAAGTTGAAATTAAGGGAGAGATAATTTTGTGTTGACTTTCCAAAAATACCCTTGATGTGATGGGTAAAAGTAGGATGTGATGTGTAGATTATTAGAAAAAATGTATGATGTGATAGGTAGGGTTTGAAAAAGTAAGGGGTAAAAGTGGTTTTTTAATAAAAATGAGTAGGAGATTGTGGGACGCAATTTTTTTGAAAGGTGTATATCTTTTTGGGACGGAGGGAGTACAAAATAATTAGAATGATACAAATTGGTAATTTTTTTTATTTCATTTCAATAATGAACTTTCTATATCTATGTTTCTCACCTTGGATCGTGTTGGGTTTCATTGCATCGAGTTGGTTTATATTTATGACATTCCGTTTTGAAAGAATTTAAATGTTCTCCAATAATAGGCATTTAATTTATGTTAGAACTTAATTAGGAGAGATATAAATAGTTTATACTCCGTATTAAAAAAAGTTAGGAGGGATGAAATATGAATTTTTTGTGACATTTACCCTCAAACTTTTAAAAAATTACGCAAATTTTCATAAATTCCAAAAATTACAATACTGATCACTAAACATTTAAAAATATCACGTTGCTTGAATGGTGTCTCTGTACAGATTTGGAAGTGTGTTAATAAAGCGCTCATCAATCCATGAAGATTTTATGGATTGATGAAGAAGGCGATCGATTTAAGAGTTAAAAATATACTCCCCCGTCCCTGAAAAATTTTCTCCTTTCTTTTTTCATCCGTCCCAAAAAACACTTTGTATTTCTATTAAAAAGTTAATTTTACCCATTATTTTTTCATACCCTACCTATCACATCATATCTTTTTACTAATAATCTACTCATCAAATCTTACTTTTACCCATCACATCAAAAGGACTTTTTTAGAAATTCAATACCAAAATATATTTCCCTTAAATCTCTTAAAAATCAATAACTCCCATGATTTTAGGACCGGAGAGGAGTAAAAGATAATGTTTGAGAAAAGCATATTATAGAACTCACATTGCATGTCTTATATATGGCTTTAGATGAACCTATAATTGCATATTACGGACGTGTGACTAACACATTCTCAAATCTAGCACAAAGTGATTATAAATGCAACATTTTTAAATGTTAATGGATCATTGGTGTTATTTTTAGAGTTAAAAGGAAATCCGTGCAATTTTTGGAAAGTTCAGAAATAAAATATTACAAAAATTCAATGAAATATATAAACACTAGTACAACGTAACATAAAATGTTGCTTTTTACTAGAATTTAAACACAAACATTATACATAAAAACGACCAAAAAAATTTCTTTAAAATGAAAATAAAATAAAAAAACTCACAATAAATGAAGTTGTGGAAGATATATTGCCCCCACAAATTGACCACAAATTGAGAGGGTACATAGAAATTTCGTGCAAGTATATACAAGTCACTATTGTAATTAGTTGAAAACCTTGACTCAAAAAATAATATATATGGAATTTCTTTAATTTGTCCCATTAATATATATTTTCCCCACTTTCTCACTCTCCATCTCTCTATATATATAATACCCCAAACCACTAGAACCTAAATCAAAATAATTCCTTGAGAAAGAAAAAAAACAAGAGGAAATAATTAAAGAATGAGACCACCCACACAAGCCCTATCTTTTTTCATATTCTGTATAATCTTCACATACATTTGCAAGAAGAGCATTAAAATGCTCCCAAGTTCATCTTTCATCAACTATGTCATATTCATAGCCACACAGCTCAAATGGGCTTGGGATTTTCTCCTCCTCCAGTCCTTCTGCCAGGCGGGACGACGCCCGCCGTGCGTCTTCGAAGCGTCGGCCGTGGGGCCCGCCGTGAGGCGGTTCGAGGGCGGGTCCGCGGTCGAGTGCGCGGTGTGTCTGTGCCCGGTGGAGCGCGGGGAGGAGGTTAGGGAGTTGAGGTGCGAGCACGTGTTCCATAGGGCCTGTTTGGACCGGTGGCTGGGCACTGGGCGCATGACGTGCCCGTTGTGCCGCAACCACGTGAAGCCGCCGCATGCGGCGGCGGCGGCTTTGTCTGGACTTCACCACCACGAAGTCATCGTGTTTGATGTCTTTGGTGGTGGCAGAAGCCACCGGGACCGGAGCACGTGGTGGCTCCGGTAGCGGTTGACCGCAAGATAGTGGCATCGTGGTGGTGTCAGAGTAGAACTTTTCTAAGAATAAGTCACTCCTTGAAGGCGGCGGTCCGATGATATTACAACGTTGTAAACCTAACATTTTCCGACAACATTTTTATAATGATGATGACGATATCTTTCTTCTTGTTAAACGAAGTACTCCGTATTAATTAGTTTGGTGGATTTAATTTACTTTAGATTGATGGATCAAAGATGTTTAATTATTTTCATTATTTTGTGAATTTAATACTTCGCATAATCGAGTGTATTTTAAGATATAATTTTGATATATTATATGAGTATAAATTATTGTATAAAGTGCTAAACAGAGTACTTATTTACCGTTAAAACATGTAAAAATTGTCTAAAATGTCAAAATGTAAAAAAATAAAAAAGTTTAGATCATCAAAGGATATGGATAGTATAAGTATAATGTTGATTAGTATGAGTACAACTCAAATTGTGACATTACAAATTAAATGACGTTTTAAAAACGTATTCAGAAAATATTGAAAGAATATGAATTGAATGCATAATTATTCTATAAAAGAAGATGACAAATAAAGTATTGGGACCAACAAAAAAAACATGTAAAAATACAAGGGAGAGAAGGCATAAACGAACGAGTCTCCATACAACATATATAGAGTGCCTCTACAATTAAAATGAGAGGAAAAATAAATAAAAAGTTTTAGTCTAGAATACCACCTATTTAGTTTCAAAATCTAAATAATCCGATCCTATTTACTTTAGTCGATCATTTGATTTATAAATATGGTCATTTATCACTGTTTGTTTTATGGAACTTTAATTTAAATGTAACTTTAAGTGTATAAATTTATTTGTAAATTTTACATGCTCCCTCTGTCCCCTAAATATTTTTCCGTCACACATTATGAGACTTAACCGATTTTATTTTCAGTTCATTTTTTTATTGTAGGTGTAAAATTTTAAAATAAAATTTATATTTTAAAAAATTACATGAAAAAACCTACAAAACAAGATGTGACAAGACTATTTTATTTTATGAAATAAAAATAAGCAATCAAAGTGATTTAAGTTTGATCCTATAAATAGTTACTTAAAATATCTATGCGTGACGGAGAATAAATATGACATTATTGACATATCTACAATAGTCCTTCCGTCTTAAAAAAACCGCTACTCAATTTGATTTTCATAGAATTCAAGAAAATAAATTGTTACTCGGTTTAATTTGTTTCGGTAAAAGAAAATTTAAATTTCACGAATCACATATTCATAACTAAAAATTACTTCCTCCGTCCCAAAAAGATTGGTGCATATTGACTTTTTTGGGAAAATAAGGGAGGGATATTTTGGTGTTGACTTTCCAAAAATACACTTGATGTGATGCGTAAAAGTAGGATGTGATGAGTAGATTATTAAGAAAAAGGTATGATGTGATAGCTAGGTAGGGTATGAAAAAGTAAGGGGTAAACGTGATTTTTTAATAGAAATGTAAAGGACTTTAAGGGACGCAAATTTTTCGAAACGTAACTGACTTTTTGGGACGGAGGGAGTATAAGTTAAAAATATTTTTTGCAAAAAAAAAAAAAAAGATAGTGGATTTTTTTTAGTTTTAAAATGAGTCTCACACTATTGCTCACTGTCTCATTCATATTTCTTGGCCAGTTTTATTTTCTTATTCTTCCTTCTTCTTTGTAGGCGGCTACTGATAGTACGTTTTCTTGACCACTAAGACCAGCGCACACCAAATTGGATTTTTTACATTGGATAAGTTGATTTATACACCTGATGGGCTATTGGGCCCACATGGTCCAGCCCGGCCCAATATCCACGAGACGCTAGAGGAACCCCGGCGAAGAGCAACGACGGCTCCCGAGCGGCCCAATACGTGTGGATAAGTTGATGGGCTTCTGGCCCGGCCCGATTGCGCATACGGAAAGGATCTTCCACTTTTTTCGGAATTGACCGCGTCAGATCGCTGAATGTGTGGGAGTGCTTGGCTGAGCGCCAAAGGCAGAGGAAGACCAAGAGGTGATTGAACCTGTCATAGTTATCACTTCCCTTGTAGACTCTCAAATGCACAACTATAAGTAGAGGTTAAAGTCGTACCACTCACGCTGAACACAACGAATATACTCGTGCTTTGTTGTCGTTCTCTCAAGCTCTATTCTTTGTTTTTCTAGTTCATAATTTAATCTTGCCTTTCGGGTCGGATTCTTCGGTGGGATTTATTCCCATCAACACCGTAGTTTGATATCATGTGTTTCATAAATATATACAAAAAGTCATACAATGATCATGTGTGTGACCCAAAGAATAATTGTGTGCATATATTTAAAGATACATGATTTCAAATTTGATGTGACTCTTAGTTAAGTCTTTTATTTTTCATTTAGTATTGGCACACACTAGCACGTACAACTACAAAAGATGTCACAGTGTCCGGAGGCGTAGCTCAGCTGGTCGAGAGGATTTTGTTACAAGAGATTTACTCGGGTTTGAATCCTAACAATGACATAACCATGTTAAGCACAAAGTTTTTGCAAGTACGAGAGAGAGTAAAATATACTCTAGTTCAAGTATATGTTCAATATTATTTTTATCAAAATAGGAATTAAACAATTACACTAAAAATAAAATGTGAAGAGAGTTGGAGCATCTCCAATGGTATTCATTTTTTCAATTTTGCACTAGCTCCTCTTTCAATAGTGCCCAATTTCCAAACCCAAAATGTGTTTTTCCTCCCTCCTCTTCCCACGCAAATCTGCATTTTGCCTGTAGCATACTCCATTTATTTTTTCTTTTCTTTTTTAATTTTAAATTTTTGTAAATGACATTTATATATATTTTGTGGTTTAATTTACATATTGTTTTTGTAGTTCACCTCCTTTATATTTTTTAAATTTTGAAAGCTTAAAATATAGTAGGAAAAAATGGAATATAGTCTGAAAATATTCTTTTGAGCTTAAGTTAGTGTAATGAGTTAGAGATAAATTACTATTTGATACTCCCTCCGTCCCTAAATAGATTACAATTTTTTTTCTCTCCTCTCGATAACTTTTGTTTGTTTACGCAATTTCATTAAGTATTTGATAAAATAAAATATTTTTGTCACCTCTTATTTTGTACTCCGTAGTAGAACTTTTAACGTAGTTTTTTAATATATAATTTTTATATCTTATTGATATACAAATTTGTAAATAAAATGATTTCAAAAAGTAAAAATTTTACTCCGTAACCCGCAATTTGTAATCAAATTGGGGACGGAGGGACTATAACATTTACTGTAATTTGGGTTTGAGTTTGTGAAGCTGATGATTGGAGATGGCCCTATGCTATACAATACTCCGTAAGAGAGTAATGCTAGGAGTGCACCCCATTTGTACACCGCTAGGTTCCTCACCACATTTCTTACGTACTTCTCACTCTTTACATCTACATTAAAAGGTGTGCGGTGAAGAGCCTATTGGTGATATAAATATAAGACCTTTTACAATGAATTGGGAACAATTTTAAAATTTATATTTCCATTATTGTGTGTGATTCTACTATACTACTGTTTCATATGAAGTTATCTATTTACTATTCACGAGATCAACCTAAAATCACTGTTCTCTATTTTCATTTCTCATTTGATAAAATAAAATAACCAATCATCTCATATCTTGTTTTGTTCAACCTTTGATGTAGTTTTTTAATATGTAAATTTTATTTTTTAATTTCGCTTCAATTCTTTAATAAATTACATAAAAAATAATTTGAGTCAAAAATCGTGAACCAAATTAAATAATTTAAATTGGGACAGAGAAAGTAATATGCATTAACATATTAAATTTGGGAGACGTGCATAAAAACCGGTCCTGTGATTAAACCAAGAAATAAGTGAGGCGTCTTTGAACCGTCTCATGAGAAGTCAAGTTTTGGACTACGGAACCCATTCAAGTCTGGTGTCAGTAACACTATGTTTGGTTCAAGGAATTTGAGAGGGAAAGAAAAAGAAAATGAGAAGGAAAACATTTTTCTTGTTTGGTTAGAGAGGAAAAGAAAAGAAAAATGGAAGGAAAAGAAAATGAGAAGGCAAAATGTGTTAAGATGAGGGAAAACCAAATTCCTCCCATTTTGGTGAGGAAATTGAGTGAAAACCATTTTCTTTTCTTTTCCTTCCAATTTCCTTGAACCAAACATAGTGTAAAAGTTGCCATTCAAGACTTTAGTAAATGTAAAGAGATTGACAGGTCCAGACCCAGTTTCCTTTTTTTTCCTCAATCACTATGTGTAATGAAGTAAAATCTTCAAGATGTGACAAGATTTTGCATGGACTTTTACACCCCTCAATCAAATGACAACGACAATAATTAACAGCAAACCCAGTGAAATCCCGCAAAAAAATAGAATCAAATGAAAAAAGAAACACGATAAACCACCACTTCGAAAGGAATACGTTTCTCTTGTTGAGTTTGTAAACATATTACTTGAGAACCATCAAAATGGCTTCCTGTTGAACTTTTGTTAAGCTCTGTAACGATGAACAAAGGAAAGCAACATTACTCAGCAACGGTTTGTCTATTTATTTTTAGTTTTCGGTTGAAAGGATAAAAGAAGGTCGAAGGCACGCACCTTTAGTATGTGGGGAAAATGTGCCCCACTGCTGCTTGAAAAACTCCGAAGAAGTTCAATGAGATAATTCACCAGATTTATCTTCAAATATGGAATTAGAAGGGAAGGGGTTAGCATATAAGATTGGAGAAGCATGACCGGCTCAAATTTCCCTTAGTCGAAAGGTATACCTCATTGAGGGGGTCGCCACTAGTATGAAGATCGTCATCGTTGCCATCCTCGTCTTGATCCTACAAAGGTCAAACACATGGAAAGAATGTAACCCCTATCCATCTAAGTCAGTGTTCTAAAGAGTACCCAGGTGGATATTTGGCAGGGAGAAAATCTAATCTAAGGACTGCAAATCTAATCCTACCTAGGGACGGCAATGGGCTAGGTTAAATTTGGGTTTCAGTATATCCAACCCCAACCCGTCTTAAGGCTGCATCTCATCATTTGATCTCATTGGTTCTGATCTGAAATTTTTATGGTCTAATCTACTCTTATCTGAATGGATCTAATCTAAATGGAGTTGGGATTTAAACTTAAGAGCAAACAAAAAATTATTATCTGCGCAATCGGGTCCGGTTGGCAAATTCTATAACCCAAACCCAACCCGAACAGACTCAGTTCGTTTGGATTGTATTTTCAGTTCAAGTTAGACATTTTTCGGGCTGGCTGAGTCATAAAATTGGGTTTGGATCGGATTGCCATCACTAATCCTACCCATTAGAATGCGTCTATTTCTTTCTTCTCTATTTATTTACTATACCAATCAAAGGCTATGTAGTTCCTAGGCGAGAAGTTTCAGAATAGATATCTAAGATAAACGTAAAATACACAATGACATGGGAAAATGTGGTGAAACCTCATTAAAAGCCTTTGCCATTGCATTGAGATACTCATAGGTGGGTCTACTATTAGATGTAGAACCAGCTGCAATCAATGGAGTTCCATTGCTTCCAATCTCTCCATCTCCAGCTTCCTCCCAGTCATCATCCTGTTGATAAACATAGGTTCAGAATTCCACATCCAATAAAGTTCAATAACAGAAGTACTGAAAGGGCTTTTAATTACCTCATCACCGTCTGTTAAAGCTTGTTCTTTGATTTCAACCAAGGAATCTGCCAATATAGCCATAATCTGATCTTATCAAGAACAATAAATTTTTGTTAGAGCACTCGATTCAATGGTTTAGGAAAAAACGAGTGCCAAAAAGTGAGGAAACAAGTCTAGAATAATCGAGCTGACAAAGGTGTACCCAAAAATGACTAATAAAAATATACCCTCTGTCCCAGGATTAAGTTCTCATTTTTGGTTCATATTAATTTCTCTCTACTCCGCACAGAACCCAATCACACCATCTTTACCGTTCTTAAATAACATGATAAAGTAAATGGGAACTCAATTTAAGGACAAGAGTATACATAATACAGACATACACAAATACTTGCATACATGCATGAATAAATACATACATGCCTGCATACATGCATGGGGAATGATATGTAGTCGTTTACCCTACAATTCATCTTTTATAACTTTTAAAATGTGACTGTTTTATCTAGTTTTTGTGTTTTCATGAACTGAATGTCCATTGAAATTAGCCTATCTGCCTTTTTAAATAGGGGTAAAGTCTGTGTAGACCCACCCTCCACACACCCCATACATTGGCCCTTGCAGGGTTGGTCCAGCTGTTCTTGCATGAGAGCATATAGGGACTGTCTCAGACTATCAAATGAGAGGAGTTTAAGGTGAGGCGAGAGTGTGGTGATTTTGCACTCATTGATCGGATCTTTGATCCAAAGCTGAGGATATCCATTGAATGATACACACCCAATGAACCCCAAACGGATGCTGCATGGGATAAAAATAAGGTCATAGTCAACAACGATCTCACACCCTTGGATCTAAGGGTGAAAATTCACTCCTAAGTCTTTATCTCACTTAGTCATTCTCCATACACACACGTGTGCGCATACAAACCAGCATATTTAGTTTTGTAGTATGACTAGTATCATTCGATGTTTAACTAACCACGAGAGAGTACCTTCATAGGAAGAGACATAACTGTCCATTGATCTGGAGCGGTTTTAGCCTTTGAACGTGTAGTGATCCCAGCAGATGACTTCAAATTTACAGAGAATGGAATAAAGAGATTTTAACCATTTCTATTTTCTGGATTATATAATGTGCTGAGAAAAAAAACAAGTACAAGTGAACCTTAATAAGATGTCCCTGCACATTAATTTCCTCCAACTCAGCATGCCAAGTAGATAATAATAAAGCCAAAGCAGTTGTTGTTACTTTGATTTGGTAGGCTCCCTGAATTTCCCCTGCATAGCATAAGATTAATTAATTTCATGAACAGGTAATAAATAAATTGGTGACCTTGCAAAGCTTAATTCATTGATCCCCATGATAATACTGACATCAAAAAGTCACTTTGGTACACAAAACGCTTACTAAAGATGTAGAAAACAGTCATAACACAGAGACTTTGGTTCACCAAACACTTGTTAAAGGAGTATATAGAAAGATAGGTAGTATATATCAAGTTGAAGGCAAAAGTTACAAAATCTCATACTCCCTCCGTCCCCAATTTGATTACAATTTTTTTCTCTCCTCTCGATAACTTTTGTTTGTTTACGCGATTTCATTAAGTATTTGATAAAATAAAATATTCTAGTCACCTCTTGTTTTGTAGAACTTTTGATGTAGTTTATTAATATGTAATTTTTAATTCTTATCGATATACCGATTTGTAAATAAAATGATTTCAAAAAGTGAGATATTTCTCCCCGTAAACCCCAATTTGTAATCAAATTGGGGACGGAGGGAGTAGTAAATGATATCAGAGAAACACACTCTCCATCCCATAATTGTATTCCATGTTCAATTTGACACGCTTTTTAATAAAGTGGAAAATTGTGGTTGAAATTTGTTTGAAAGAGACAATATTGACTACACATTCTTTTCTAAAAGGGAAATTTTAGGTGTTCCAATAGGAAAGAGAAAACAAAATCAATAGACGGAGGAAGTAAATTTTAAAAGAGTAAGTTCTATAAATGGCCCCTTATAAGGCTATCTGTAATGTCTCACACCGCTCACTCCAAATCAGCAGCTACTTAGCGCCACATTAGCATTGACTGTACTCACCATCTCACTCACTTCACACCTGTAATGCCTCACCACCACTGCAATGATTACACTTATTTTTTTTATAAATAATTACCTTTTTATATTCAAATTAAAATATACTCCCTCCGTCCCCCATAGATCTTCCCAATAGCCCTTTTTCTTTGTCCACAATAGATCTTCTCATTTCATTTTTTAACAATTAAAATACCACAACTACCCCCACTTACTTTATTTATTACACCTCACCCACCTCATTTAATACACTCCATCCATTTTCATTAAGGGTATTATGGTAAATTTTTACCTTTTTTCAACTCTCCTTAAAAATCACCAAAAGTCAAAATGAGAACATCTTAGGGGGACGGAGGGAGTACCATTTATAAATTAATAATACAAAAAATAAAAAATTATTTAATTATTATTATTATTATATTTTCATTACTATTTTTTTCGTTATTGATTTTTTCTTTTTTTTTATATTATAATAAATTATTGCACCAAAAAAAAAAGAAAATCTCTTAAATAATATTTCTATTCAAATTAATATATTTCTATTTAAATTAAATTCTATCTATTTTTCATATAAATAAATTAAATAATTTTTTAAGCATCTCTTAAATAAAATACTACTAAAAAACTAAATACAAACAATAAAAAAACAAAAAACTAATAATAAAAGAAAATTCACATAAAAGAAAGCAACTCAGCAAAATAAACTAAACAAAAAAGGGAGAAAGCAACCAAACAAAAAAAACTAAACAAAAAAACTGGGGAAAAAACAAAGGAAACAAACAGAGAAGAAAAAAAACAGAGCATTAGTTAGAATTGGTTGTTTAAATAGAAGAGAGAGGTAGTAGGAATTTGAATTTATTACTCCCTCCGTCCCTAATTTGATTACAATTTTTTCTCTCTCCTCTCAATAACTTTTGTTTGTTTACGCGATTTCATTAAGTATTTGATAAAATAAAATATTCTTGTCACCTCTTGTTTTGTAAAACTTGTGACGTAGTTTTTTAATATGTAATTTTTATTTTTTATCGATATACCGACTTGTAAATAAAATGATTTCAAAAAGTAAGATATTTCTCCTCGTAAACCCCAATTTGTAATCAAATTGGGGACGGAGGGAGTATATTTTAAATTAATTTTTGTCCATATGATGGTTGAAATCAAAAGAAACTCAAAAAAAAAGGGCAGGCATTACGCCTAGTCTAACATGGTGTTTTCCATATAGTCCCCAATTCTAAGAAATCTCATTTGTGGTCCTCGATATTTGAGAACTATTCCATAATCAGTCCTTTGAGGAATATAGGTGGAAAACAAAATTTGGACCAAAGGACTAGTTATGGAATGCTTCACAAATATAAAAGATCGCAAATGTAATTTCTTAGAATTGGGGACTATATATGGAAAACACCCTATTATAACTTATAAGGGACCATTTATGGAATTTTCCCATTTTAAAATAAACAAACATAACTCTCTTATCTTCTTGGCATAGCTATAGAATAACAATTTGTCAATTTTTAGAAATACTAGTCTTGAAATGAATGTTCGGCACAAAAAGAGCTTCTTGGAAAATATGCATTTTTGAAAGCTGGAGAGTGGATATTCTTGAAAAGGAATCATTTTCACTATATTTACACTCAACGGAATCTATTTTATACTCAGTGTTGGCCCAACTTCTTCTTTTTTTGAGTTAAAGAGCAGGGGAAAACAAGCACCTCAAAGAAATACACTACACAAATTCATTGTGCGATCAGGAATTTAGTCAAATAGCCAATTAGTACACACTTACCTTGCATCTTAGTCCATTCAAACATTAAGTAAGCAAAGGCATTCTGATGGCCTTTGGCTGGTAGTGACAGCAATAAATCAATGAATTGTTCAACATGTGGAACACTCATATGGACCTGAATAAAAAAATGACGCATTTAGTGTTTCACATTACTTCATCCCAGGAGCTAGAGAATTGAGATGAGCAAAAAGATAAAAAGGGGAATCAGTGAGCTTATAAGTAGGCCTTATTAAGAAAACTAAATTCCGAAAAAAAAATAAAAATGTGATCTACATCTTGTCCTCATGTTGGCTTGGCTTTTGTAAGTAATTATATGCACTTGACTTCTTGTTCATTCCAGATTTTTAAAGTATAATAAGCTAAATTGAACTCTCAGTTCAGAAAGCATTTCCTGAAAGCGTTAAAATGAAAAAACACAATAGAATCCCATGAAAGTATGATCTGGGGAGGGAATGTGTAGTAAGGCCGTACTCCTACTTGAAATTAGAGAAGTCGTTTCCAAGAAAGTGTTTAAAGGGAATCAATTAAAATATTTAATCAAAACCATTATAATGATTTTAAACTACTTTGTATCTGTGATCATTGTTGGCAATAAAATATCAGGAACAGGTCAACTACTTTAGATGGACTAGAAATGTATATGAGCATAAAACAAAAACAGCTAGTGCACAAATAAATATGAATAGACAAATAAGAATACCAGTCTAGCAAAAATAACCAACAATGAACTTTTGAGCGCAGAAATTTCACATGATTGCATGCGTTTGATAAGTGCAGCAACTAAGTCTCTGATATGTTCTGACATTTGTGAAGGGAGGTGCAAAATAAGTTGCAAGATGTAGCTTCCAACAAAAAGTGAAACTGAACTTTCTAGATCAGGATTCAGAAGCCTGCATCCACATCATTGATAAAGATTTTTTACACAGGACCGATCCAACTCTAACATACACTGACACACCATACACTGCAAAGGCCATCCACCAAGCAATATAGTTGTGGCATAACAGAAAAAAATGCTCTGGTTCTCTTTTTTTAATGAATAATGAAACTTAAAGTATGAGTGATTGGGAAGGTTGAATAGTTGAGAATAATAATAAATCCACATCTTAAAAAGTAATGACTTATGAGTCTCCTGCATATAATATACTTCCTCCGTCCCACAAAAAACTTCTTGTTTTGACTTTTAAAGGATATAAGGGGACTAGGGGAGTGTATTTTGGTGTTGGCTTTCCAAAAATGCCCTTTGATGTGATGGGTAAAGTAGGATGGGATGGGTAGATTAATAGAGAAAAAGTGTGATGTGATAGGTAGGTTAAGAATTAATAGGGGTAAAAGTGACTTTTTAATAGAAAAGAGAAGGGTTTTTTGGGACGGCCGGGCCGGGCGGATGAAAAAGAAAAGGAGAAGGGTTTTGTGGGACGGAGGAAGTACTACATTCACTAATGTAAGCATTCTAATAAAGCACCTCATCTAGGATCAGACATTATCTCTTCCCCTCTGATTATTTCTCTCACTCGTTAGTGACCACATATTCAGTGATGCTTGTGGGTGTTTGCCCTTTGTCACTAGCCAGATTAAATCTCATGCTTCTTAACAATAACAAAAAGGATTTTTGCCAATGTCTTTTTTATGGATTTGCCAATGCTTTTAATTATACTCCCTCCGTCCCATTAGAGAGTTTACAAACACTCTTTATAGGGTCAACCCTTTTTCACTTTCTTTGCCTATTGTCATCACTTATTTGATAAAATAATAGTCATGTCACCTCTTGTTTTGTAGATCTTTCAATGTAGTTTTTAAATATGTAAACTTTATTTTTTAACTTTATGCAAACTTTTATATAAAATAAGTTGAAAACAACTACAGTCAGACATCGTAAACCGAATTGTAAACTATCTATTGGGACGGAGGTAGTATGTAGTATGAGATAATGACTGCTTTGTACTTCAAAGTTCAATAATGCTGCAAAAATAGTGACTGAATTTGGAATAGTTATGCACCTATTTAATAGATAGATCTTAAAGAGGAACGAAACAACCATTTCCCATGAGCACATCCCCCCACCCCCACACACTTCTACTTGTTACATATCTTCCTCTAACTTTGATGCATTACAAACAGAGGGGTGCATTGTGTGGAAACATGTTTGGTTAGTCTACCTATTTTTGATAGCATGGTAAAACTCTATAGTCCTTGAACATGGAGTTTTTTGAACTTTTTTTTTCCTAATAAATTGCAAGCTTAAGAAAGCCCATAGATCACAAGGTCACATAGGTCAGATTCCACGACCATCAGACTACGTTAATTAGTTTCCATTCTTAGATATCTTCTACATTGATATAGTTAGGAATAAATGAGAACAATAAACCTAGAAAGACCCCAACTTCATTAGGGTATGGGGATCAAGGTGTACGCAACCTTACCCCTATAAAAACAGAGAGGTTGTTTCCATTAGACCCTTGATGAATTGCTGCATTTACTGTCCAATGCTTCACAGAAAATAAGAAACACGCGATGTTTAATGTGCCATTCTGATTTAGTCCATTCTTTAACTGAAGCTGAAAAATTGTCAAAAAAATACTCTTTTAGCTCCGTTGGCAATGGACGCATAGTTAGGAATATACACACATAAAATATCTTTATGCAGCATCTATGCTTTTCTGTTACATATTTTAATGCAACAATAACATTGTTCCTCTATTCATTGTATACTGACAGTAGCACATTCAGTGATGGTCATCCATGCATATCACCAGAAAATTCAATTTGTGCAATTATGCTTGGTTGTTGCAGTGAATCAGGGATTTCTAAGCAGCAGCAGTAGCAGTACCATTTTATGAGGCAGATGGGCAAGATAAGACACACACAGAGAATAGTGTCCCTAAGGGCAAAGCATGAGTGCTAGAAGTTCACAGGTTCATCTTTAACCTTTAACTTCAGTTATCCATTTGTTTTACAAGGGGGGGTGAGTGATAGCAAACAATTTTTGTGGAATTGCCTCATCATCAATAGTATGATTAGAAGAATGAGATGATAAAAAGGGTAACACACCTTGAAGTCACATCAAGCAAGCATTTCATTGTGTATCCAGGATCTCCACCCCATCTAAGTAACTCCTGCTTTCCGCCATAGACAAGTGCAGCCAAGCACTGTGTTGCATTCTAAATTTATAAAAGCAACAACAGGTCATTTTTAATTCTTAGTCAAACAAAACATCTTAGACTCCAGAGTCCATCTGGTACAATGGAAATTTGCCTTCCTTTCCTATCAATTCTCAAATAGGAGTCCTGGTGTTTGATAAGAAAAAATGTTTTTGGAAATTGTTTCCCTCAGATGCTGGAAAAAGAATTCTCGCCTTGCTTTGGAATTTTCTTTTCAAATGCTGAATTGAAATGAAAGTGGGATATGGTACATCATATGAAGTTAAAAAGTATACCAGTGAACCAATCTGTGAAACACATTTCGATACTACAATCCGGACCCCATCTATTACTACTTTGAGGGGGGAGGGGGGATCACAAGGCGATGGACGGCATAGTAAAACAGCCATATACTATATACAGCATAACTTGTTATAGTTTTTTTTACAGAGTATTACACTCTAATTTATCTATATATTTTCTTTTTTTATCATGTTATGCACGGTCAATTCCATCAGTATACTTGTTCTCTTACAATTCCAAAGCAAACCAGCAACAAAGTACTCAGACCAATTTCATACTCGCCAACCAATCAATGGGCTTCAAAATATCCCAAAGCAAACAGACAGTTTGAGAAGGGTGAAAGAGGAACCTGCATCTCGCTATGATCATCACTTTGGAGGATTATCCTTATAACAGGATCAAAAGAAACTTCATAAATAGTTTTGATGACATCTATTGGTGCATCCTAAAACGGTAGATAGAGAATCATGAATATTTGAAAGTAAACCATAAATTTCTTCCTACATGTGAAGTAATAAGAATGTCACTAAGACAGTGCATATCCAACCTTCAACAACATTGTCATAAGATCAAGAGAGCCAGCTACTAAACCTTCAGGCTGCTGGTGCGGCTAAATGAGTAAAAATATAAAAGAAACTTCAGATTAGTATTGATCTGCAAATCACTCATAAATAAACATTAATAAATTTTACATCATACTTTAATTAGCACTGGTCCAACATAAGGTAAAATCCGAGAAACCAATGGCTGGATACAACCAGGAGCTTTTTTTATTGCCTGAAATACCGATAAGAAATAGTTATAGAACTAAAATCTCCACAGTGAACAGTAGTAGGTGACTGATAGAGTGATAGTAGAAGTTAAAAATGGAGCATACCAGAATGCAAGTAATGTTCGGAGCTTCAACAGCATATGGTTTTTAAAAAATTCAGGAGGGAAAGAGATTATATAGTCTATGGGGCTTTGGGCATCATCATCATTCGTAATTCGACTTTATTTTTCTCTCTAACACATAACTCATAGATGTAGTCCATTTAATAGATATTACAGTATTACAGATCACTACCTCCAAAACCTCGAGAGCATCAATGCTGGCAAAAGGGTCCGTGACGTGTGAAGCCCATACATTAAGGATGATAGGAGATAGAATGGACTCCACAGATGGCAATACTTCTGGGGCTACAATTAATAGGTCATGAAAGATATTCACAAAACTCTTATATAAGTTACAAAATGCCAAAAGTAGTATAGCTAAGTGGTCATTGGTTTATCAGTCTTAAACTTTACCCATGAGCTCTAACCTGCACTGACAGCTGCCTGTAGTGTCTCAAGCACTAGATGCATTGTTTCATCAGATGCCTAAGAAGCCATTAGATACAAGGCAAGAGTGTTAGATTCAATCACTTCAAAAGAGATTGTCCAATAAGACAATTAATAGAAAAATATACTCCGTACTGAAGAATAATAAATTTCACTGAAGACTACACACATGCTCAAGAAGGTTGGTGAGTGATGAAAATAAGTCCATGATATGTGCCCGAATGACTCCAGAGTCTGCATCAGATAAAAGCTGGGAAAGGGCTCGACAAGCACCTACCTTTACTGGAGGAGGCCTACATATATTATTATGAATCCATTAACATTCTGATTGTTTAACAAGGGTAAGGTCACACATGACCCCCAGACCCCAACTAAGTTGAGATTATATTGGATTTGTTGTTGTAACAATCAAAATGCCGAATTTCTTCTAAATAACTAATGTTCAAAACAAATTAAGCTCTTAGTTTCTTACACATCCATGCCAATTGCCTTCACAGCTGCATGCAAAAACTGCTCAGAAAGCCCTTGGTTGATCTGAAGAGCGTGAACACAGAGATTTAGCACAAAATTAGGTCACATCTTTAATATTAGAATTCAGAAGTTAGATGCAATCATTACCACAGAGAAAAACTTAGCAACCGATGAAAACAAACGAGCATAAAGGAAAGGATACTCATTAACACCTGAAAATAAAAAAATATGTAAAAGCTTATCAGGAAAAATAGATTATGGTGCGTATGAATAGCATCAATTAAGATAATTAGGTTGAAAATAAGAAATTAGTTGCATTCTCTTTCACCCCATGAAACTACCACCAAGCTCATTCTTCCATGCACTTGATAATTTCTTGAATTGACATGCACAAGAAATTCAACTATATATAAAAAGAAGATTACCTGTTGCAACGTCTTCTGTAAGAATTTTCTCCAAAACATTTCGTAAACTAGCTCTAGAGTTTCCAGAAACCTGGAAAAAGGTTATCGTGAGATTTACAAAATAATACTTGCATATAGAGACAACAAAAGGATTAGATTGCTGCATCATGGCAGGGGCCTGGAAGGAAAACAATTGTGTATGTTTTTGCTTTCCTTAAAATGTTTTTAGTTTCTTTTTGTCCAGAGTAAAGATATAGATGACGAAACCGGGCAAAAAAATAGTTGGAACGATATCCTGCCGATAATAGACATAAATGCATGTCTGCCTCCCTGTTATTCTTTTACAGACTACAAATTACATATGGTGTTAACCTCTGTTTCAAGCAACTCTTCTGACACGGAAACCAAAGCAAAAAGGGTAGCCTCCCGTACCTGCACAATAAAAACAATAATGAAGATACAACCAAAGCGTATTCAATTAGCAACATCAATCACTTAAGAGACAAATACAATGCCACTAAATGATCAATCACATAAAGATATTGGTCATGAGGCTAGTTTTTCAGCGAAAATCAAACCCCCTGTATTCCATTCTAGTGTTGACTCTTGCATGGACACATACTTTAAGATAAGTAACGGTTGGTAGAGAAAAGAGAAGAGAGAGAGTAAAAGGTAAATGAATATTTGGGTAGGGTATAGAGAACAGAAAAGAGAGTGAAAATTTAATGGAAGATAATATTTTATTAAGTGTGTCCTTCCCAAAAATAGAAAAAGGAACACTAAAATGGAACGACTAAAAAAGGAATTTAGAAACCAAAGTAGATATAAGCAGGAGTAAAATCAAATATTTATATGGGCTGACACACTATCATCTTTCAACTTACTCTCCACCAACCCAAAGAACCAGCAGTCTTCTCTTGCTGTGATTCATTGATTCTTTTTTCTGCAGATTCAATTATAGCATTTATTCCCTCTGCACCACAAGAATGTATCACCTCTTCTAGTAACAGCGCACCTGAAATCAACATTTGCATAATTTGTGTTATGCAAATGTCGTGTTATGTTAATAATTTGTGTCAAATTTTTAAACACTTAAAAGTAAAATGATTTTTAACCTACATGAAATCTTATTGGAATTTGGAAAGATGAAAATTTGGATCAGCGTGTGTTACATTATCCTTCAAATGAATAAGTATCTGATTTCTTAAAATTATTTATAAAGCAAACAACAGATACCTCTTTTACTTCTGATACCAAACAAAAAACTTACCAGAAGATCGACAACTATAAGTATTATCCTCCTCGTCAGCAAGGAATTGATTGGCATCCATCAACCATGTGTGGGCCTAGATTAAACCAATGTTGCAAGATTTGTACAGAAGGAAAATATAAAATCAAAGAGGCCACAACTGGGTAGCAAACAATCAAATAGTAAATGGACATCCACTATTTGTGTAGAGATTAATTGATCTTTATGAGCCAGGAAAAATAGCTAAAGAATAGGGAATCAAATGCCTAGAAAATGTACATAGACATAAGTACTTATGTAGTTAGAATTTGGTATGTACAGAATAACTTTTTTGAAATGGAAGTGTAAGATCTTTAAATGGTTAAGCTGCTCCTCACAAGCTAAACAGTACTGTTTAAAAAGTCACTTCCTCTGTATCCTAAGTCTCATTAAACGATTACACACATGATTTATAGGCTAATTAAAGATTACATTTTTTATAGCCAAGACGGTTAAAAAGAGTAGAAGTAGAAAACATGCACTCTGATTTTATAACACAACAAATAAGAAAAGTGGGATTACTTTCATTCAGAAACCTGTAACTCAAATGAGATTTCATTATTAAAAATTACTTGTAACAAATAACCTCAGAGAGAGAGAGAGAGAGAGATTGCACTTTCGGTTATTAAAAAACAGAGAGAGGGAGAGTTAGGACTGCCAGGCATTGCAAAAATTCAACTCAGCAACAATAAATTGCTGCATTAAGCTCCAGTGTCTAGAGTGTTGAAACCTTTAACCAGTGTTGCAGCACATACAACTATAAGAGTTTTCACTTCTATGTTTCTGTTTCGAAAAACTTCTAAGATGGCCAGCTTCCTATATACTGTACATGCATGCATGCAGATTTAGTGTAATTTTTAACAGACGCTAAAGCATTGTCAATATTTATTAGCTTCATTGGTTACAATCCTGGTCACGCGAGAAAATCCTGGGATGTTGTGATTCATGCAATGTCTTGGGAAGCGCCACACTCCAAGCCTATGAGGGGTGTAAGCATGTAATGCAGGAAGTCTAACCTTTTTTTGCGATGACTGAATTCATGAACCAGGGCTTGAACCCGTGACCTCAACGGAATTCTAACCCGTGACTGGTTCCATCATATATGTGCCAAAGCTCTAATTCATTCATTCACACATGCACGCCCCCCCCCCCCCTCACACACACACACACACACACACGAAGTACAGAAATATTAAAATGTATGTTCTGAAACTCATTAAAGATCTTAGAGAATCGTGTGCATGTGTCATGCCCAGAACTCAAATACATGAATACATATGTGTGATCACATGCACATATAGTCATATATGGTGTGGTTTGAATGGTACTACAAAAAAAGATATTCATCCAAAGTTATTGATTTTCAACAATTACATTGAAAATCAAATGGTTATGATCATTTCCACATGCAATTAATGCTTAAACTAAAATCTGTGAGAGTTCACTTGCTAGTTACTACGGAGTAAAAGAGTACTCATCTGTACAACTATATCCATTGGAAACTCTTCCACACACATACACACACTGAACAAACATAAATAAAATGTTATTACCTGGTGCTCTGTTATCTGCAGAAAAGCAATGACACAGTACACTAGCTCCTTCATGTTGTGCAGAATTACCTATCACACCTCGAATTTACTAATGCATGCTGCATTTCATAATAGATAACATAATAAAAAGCACGAGAATGATTTCGAACAAACCTTTACAAACTCTTTACGGCCCAAAATAGTCAACAGGAACTCAAATAACTGTTTCATCAATTATGTGCAGGGAACAATATTAACTTCAGGTTACAGAAAAAAAAGAATACAAGTTAGAAACATGTAGAGACTGGAAAAGGTGTTTTCACCCACCCGTACATCAGAACTGAAAAGTGAAAATGCTGGACATTGATAATAATATTGTATGATCATAATAGATTCTAAAAGAGTTATATACACTGCACTGTCAATTACTAAACAAAGTTACGTCAATACTTATGGAAAAGGAAATTATCATCCACTCATGAAAGTTCCAGAGTCCAAACCGATGCTCCAGTAAAAAAAACCCAAATTTCTACTTTATGAAAAAAAATAAAGATTTGAAGGAACTTTACTCACTGTAGCTCTATATCCAGTATCCTTTGAAAGTGAGTTTAAAACTGCAGTGTCTGAAAGCAGTTTCTGCTTGTAGCTATGAAGAGTTCAAAGTGTAAAAAAATTATCTGACCTTATTACCTGGATGACAAATGATTCAAGACTTTGCTCTGCCCCATCAGAATCATATCTTCCTTCATATGCATCATCCACGCCCTGAATTGATGCTTGTGTATAGACTTGTAAAGATGATACAATTGTCTGCCACAGTGGCCCCACAATAACTGATAAAGAAACATGGTAAGAGACAGTACCAATTTGTCTAGAAATTTTATCAGTCGTACTTTTGAACACTAACAACCCCTTATAGATTTACTGGGCATACTTACCCATAAACTGATTTCCCATGAGGCAGGGGAAGTTTTGCACAGACTGATTCAAGCACTTCAAAACCTAATTATTTGGAAAGAAACCACACTTAGTCTCTTATTGTAAAAAACAGATATTTCAAAACCTTTCCATGCATGCAAATGAATTTAACGAGAAATAAACTTAGGTGGAAAACTTAACCACTGCACGGATGTCCAGAATTCATGTGGATTTAAGTCATTCATTTAATCATAACATAAAAAGCATAACCTCCATTCGAATGCTCCAATCCTCAGGATCTTCAGATTGCACTGGCTGTTCAAGAATGGAAGAGAACTGATTGATCCATGGTTGAAGCATGGGTAACAGCAAAGCAGTTGTCTCTGTCTAAGAACACGGAAAGCGATTGTCATACAACTAGCCAACGTCTGCATGTCCCCAACTTCATAATGTCAGGGAATACCTTGTAAAAGCCACTCATTGTCCCCAACATGGAGATACATGCATAAACTATGGAAATTGCTTTTTTTTGTAGAGCTTTGTCGTAAATCTGCAGTGTGAGAAACATTTACAGAGAGAGGGGCAATAAAAAAACAGAACTCCAAAATGACTTGGAAACTCTTTCTCTAAAAACTTTACTCAGTAATGCATAAATTGAAAGAGTGGTTTTGATAAGCCTCACTTTTAATTCACCATATATTGCTTCTGATGTTTAAACGGCTATTGGGGCTTACTCCTTGGGGCGTGCCACGGGACGGGCTCATCAGAAAAGGTTCTCGGGCTATAGCTCCATGAATGAAAATTAGGGCTTATGCCTAGTAGGCAGGGCATGGGCTTACACACTGGAGTTGTTTAAGGCTTATGCTCATCTTTGTTTTAGGCTATTTCAACCCACTTTTTCATGTTCAACCACCAGGTGAAAGCTTACCAAGCATCAAAGCCCTAAAACCGAAGGCCAAATAAGTTTTAGAGATTTGTCCTAAAACAGTGCCTGTCATATTTTTCATTTTCTTTATTGGTCCATATGACAATTCCCATCATGAGGCATGACTCCTCCTGTCTGTATTGAGGCACGTTAGGCGGGCTTAGATTAAGAATTTGAAGGAGCTCCAAGGCCACGTGGTACAGTCGCCGGACGGTAAAGGATTTTCTAATGAAATTTTAGGTCAGTTCTGACCCTTTCTCATATGTACGAATGGCACTTTAGGAATGTCATGTACTCATGTCAAGTCAAAAGCAAAAGAAACATATTGGACAGAGGGATTATGTTTTCTCCTCTCCAAGAAGCAAGGCAAAAACCTTTCCCTTCATAGAAAGTAATAAAAATATGAAGTTTTGATATTTGAATTTAATTTATATGATTGAAGTATTGATTGTATGATAACATTATGTGGGACTTGAGCATAGCTATATAGTTAATAATGTGTTTTAATCTTTTCTTTGTTTCCATTGGGGCTTACTTCCACTGTCCCACCCCATTGTAGGAAAATATCCTAGGAAAAAAAATCGGTTTTTTATAACAAAGGTTGCTTCTAGGGCCAAGCAATCTCATACTTCTCTCTTTTTCTATGCTTACCTTTTGATGTTTTCACATTTTCTCTATTGGGAAATGGTTGTAAAAAATTGGATTTTATCTTGAGTCAGTGACATATTTCCATTATCTTCATTATTGTTTCTTTTATGCTAAATTTAAACAAACACTTGCACGGGCACTAAATAAATTTTCTTCACAAAATAAAGTAAACTAAACCTTGAAAGAAAGAACTATGATAGCAGAAGAGAATAAACCTGTGGAGATGATACAATTGTGTGCAAGCATGGGAACAAGACAGGAACAAGCTGTGGAACCACCTTATCATCCAAATCCGCAGAGAGAAGAACCAAGGACCTTAATGCTCCATGCACTGCATGACACCACAATCAAGATTATATGACTATTTCTGTAATTTGAGAAGCAACATTGAAAGTTGGCAATATATAAATGGGTTCCAAAGTGAGCTAAATGTATAACTGATGTCAGTACTTACCGGCATCTGTGTTAGTCCGGTTCATAACTGAATTTATTAATGTTGGCAAAAGATCAGGCCAATCCTCTGGCCAGTCATAATGTGCAATAGATGCTACAGCCATACTTATTGCAGTACACATCTTTCTGTTTGGATCATCTAGCAATGATAGGAGTAGACGGCGAATAGTTTCCTGATAACAGCAGAAGAGCACTACGAATGAAACACTGTCAGATAAAAAATACACAACTAACTGTATATCTAGTAAATTAACGAACTGAAATCACAAAGGATCATCTAATTAAAAGTGTCATTACACATAAAACTTATGTGTCTTTATTTTTAAAGTGAACAACAAAATTTAAATGCTAAGACTTGTCTGTACCCAAATTCACCTTGTGTTTCACTCAATAAAAGTTGATTAAGCTCTATACGGCAAGAACACTCATGTGAAACTTGGACCTAGGAAGCAAAAGTCACTGGTGAAACTAGGAAACACAAAGAAGCGAGCACAATAAATAGTTCTTACTTTTATATACTCCGTATCATTTTTTCCATAGTATAAAACATGAGTAATTCATCAATGGCATATTAACCAATGTACAACATCATGTTTGTTTTGACAAGAAACCAACCGAAGACACAATGAAAATGCTATCACGTACATCAAGACACATTTTCATTCCATATGGAAAAATTCTATTTCCAAGATAGTAATAAAAAAACTTTCGGAAGTTGCCAGTGGAGCTATGACATTCACATTTGGAGAATATACTAAGGTCATTATCTTGAAAAGTTTGAATATAGAATAAAGAATTAAAAAATCCAGCAATTGGTTCAGCAAAATATCAAGATGCAGCAAACAGTAATATTAAGTTACTCTATTATAAATGAGAAAAAGAAGACCTTTTCATCACTAGAAACCACTGGATGCTCAAAGTCCTCTTCATCTTCCTGCCAGTGTTTCTTTATAAACTGCTTTAGCAGAACCGCAGCTAAGTGAAATCGTTAACTCTTACAAATGGAAATAAAAGCAATACTAATATTACTAAATGAAACTCGAGAGGCCAACTTTTTACAGGATAAAATGCTTTCACACCACCCTACAAAATTCAAACACAATAATGAAAGGATATCTGGCGCAGTCCCAAAGGAAGTTCCCTGCTTGCCGCAACTCTGGATAATGCGCTTCCATAACCTTCCATGGCAAGTAGATGAGTGGAAAATATTTAACTGATTTTGCAATGTAAGCATTTAAAAATCAAGTTTTCAGCACAAGATTATCCCATTTCCAATACAGCTTTTACCTGGCTGAAGGGAAGCTTGTTGAAGCGAGGTTTCAGCAAAGGATCGGACCTGGTGATTGGAATCCAGAGTGGCATTCAGGCAGTTGATAAGCCATTGCTGATCTTGATCCACCGTCGTCTCCATCGGATTGTCTGAATTCGAGCTCCGATTGCAGCAAAGCTTTAGTTGGCTTTATGTTTGATACGGAGCAGAGGATCGAGTAAAGAAGAGTTGAGCAAGAAATGGAGGGAGATTGGCTTTTGGAATTGGCGTGGTTTATAGTGCTAGGGTTTTGTCCCGGGTCAACATTTTTTAACCCGGTAAAATTTATACGGAGTAATAAATTTTTTAAATATATACAAGTATTTAATTTTAAAATTTTACATAAATATTTAAATAATAAAATTGAAAATAATTTTTTAGCCATATATTCATATACGATGAATCGAAATGTGTTTTAGGGAACCAAAATCTGATGTTTAATAAAAGATGTTGGCAATATATATCGTACGCCATATTGTACGTTATTTCTCATACACTCGTAGTTAATACAGAGTATTTATTTACGAGAAATTGAATATACGATTAAGTGCTCCGTATTAATTATCAAACTACTGAAAACTAATTTTGAATAACTAAATACTCCGTACTAATTTTCAAACAACTGAATACTCATTTTCGAATAACTAGATACTCGTCTTTTCTAAAATTAAATCATGCTAAAACATGAGTATTCTGTTACGGGAAGTCGAGAAATAGTATTGATTGATGTCGCATCAAGTGGAATAGCATAATTAATTTTGTTATGTGAAAAAACAACTCATTCGCATTTTAAAATCATATTGAACTCGAATGAAAACTCAACTTGCAACATAAAACAAGAAACTCCACTATCACAGTTTTTAGTGAAGGCAAAGTTAATTGTATAGGACAAAGCACCAATGACACATAAATATTGCTTTAAAGTTTTAGATAGAAGTTTGTGCGATATTATACGAATTTTCAATCCAATGACAATGAGTGAAAATCATATGTTTGGAGGAAAAACATTCATCTTTAGTGGAAATTTTCATCAAATATTAACAGTAATTCCAAAATGAACTATATAATATGTTGTTAATTCAACAAAGAATTCTTCTTACATTTGGACACATTGCACCACTGCAATTAACAAAAAAAACACGATGCTGCAATCCTAGTTAGTTAATACGCGTATAATACGTGTATTATACTCACGTACGTATAATACGCGTATTATACTTGCTTATACGTACAAAATCATAAAATACGTTAAAATAAGCGGATTTTAACCCTAAGGGGGGTATATTCAATCACGATTCTGAAAGATTTCGATACATTGTTTAAATTTTGTGGATTATGTAAAATCCATGAGTTATTTTAAGTCTAAGCCGAGTTTGTTAGATTTTAATGTATTTTATCAGCAGGATTTTATAGGATTCTGTGTGATTGTTTATAATCCATATATTATTTATACATAAATATGAATTTTTTTTATAAAGCTATACATTATTGTAACAGAACTATTGTAACTAGCTATTAAAAATTTTGAGAAGATTATAATAAAATAAAAATAAAGTATTTTTCAAAAAAAATCATCATCATAATATGTTTATTAGAATAAAATAATACTCCATGTAGTACTCAATGTCATAAGCAATAAATTTGTTTTTACAACTAAAATTGTTATTATCTCTCAAACATTCTTCTTCTATGTCAAAATTCATCAATGAAAATAAAAAATACAAAAGAAGACATTATCTAAAATTTAAAGATAAATGAAAAATATAAATATTAAACAACAGAGTCTTCCATTTCAACTTCATTATCACTAAAACATTCTTCATTCTCATCATTAGCATCATTTTGTGGTCGATCTCCCACATAGCTTCAGCAATACTGTTGGAAATTTTAAGTAAATTGGACATTTTCGGACATAAATTTGATAGGGTCCACAAAATTATTTTCTAAAATAATTATGGACGATTAATCCCGTAAGTAAGACGCACGTCTTGACATATGACACGTCATAAACGGTGCTCGGGTGAATGAGAAATTAATTCTCAAAGTTGAATACTAAGGTAGAGTAAATGCCTTTGTCTCACACCGGTTTCTAAAACTTTCGTATTCTCATATTTAAGCTTAGGCATTGAATTGAGCTTATGAAAGGAACAAGAAGAGGACTCCTCGCGCGCCCGCCGCCTCCGCCGTCCGGCTCGGCACGACACGCGCGCGGCGCGGCGGGGCGCGGCGCGGCGAGGCGCGCCCGCGTCTGCGTCGTGGCGTGGCTAAATTTTTACGAGACCGAAACAAACGCACGTGTACACTTCGTTAATAATGAAGTGTACGAAAGTTGAAGCATGCATGCATGGCCGACCGAAGAGTCGCCTAAGGCTCCTCGGTATCTCCGTCCGGGCTGTCCAGTTAGCCAAGCCTTCTCCTATTTAAGGAGAGGCTGGTCGAGAGATGAAAGACACCAGTACACTCTCGAAAATCCTCTCTCTCTGTAGTAAAATTATTCCAGCAAACTTCCGAGTTCTGATCATCTTCTCCGGCAGTAGCTCCGTCATTCTCGTTCGCCGGTGCTTTGTTCTACCGCTCTAGACCTAGCACGAAGTGGTTTTATCCTGGGAGGAGATTGCCCACGTTAGCCAGTGCGGGAGGCAGGCAATACTACCTTAAGGAAAGCTTCGGCGACTCCGCTTTCCTCACCCTTCTTTTGCTCCGGCGTCGTTCCTCTCTCCGTCCGTTCGTGCTCTTGCGTTCGTTCAAGCATCCGAAGACTCCAAGTTTTTATTTTCTTTATTTTTGTTGTAAAATCCGAACGTTTTATAAGTTCGGATTATTTTTTATTTTATTTTCCCGCTGTAATATTCAACAAATGCCATGTCTCCAAACATTAGCTTATGTTCTTTGTTGTTGTTGAGTTTGTGGATCTTCTTTCAACACTTTATGTATATAATGATATCATTTTGTAGTTACAGAGCGACGTTTGAGGAAACCTTCCACACATTGAGGCATGTTAATTAGAGCATCTCTTAAAACAATCATTATTGCTTGAATGCCTAACAACAAGTACTTGATAGTTTCATAAAATTCTTCTTCAGTTTCTTCATCTATTTCTTCTCTTCTTATCACTTCGTCTTCCATTTATTTATATGACCAAGCACATTTAAAATAAAATTAATTAAAAATGAAAGTGCATGACACCTACCCAACATACAAGAAAAGTACACACACACAAATTCTGCAGTCTGTTCAATCTGCTTCACTCCAATATCACTAAGAATTTCCAAATCTTCCTACTCTCTGCTTCGCTTAACTAACAGGTTCTTCCTCTGTCTAATGTAGTAGATTAAATTGGATTTAATTCCCCTTGGTTCAATTTTATTAAATTTAAAGCAATAACAAGTGCTTCCGAAATCTAATGCAGTGGATTGTATTTAATTTATTTTCTTTTGGTTCAATTTGATTAAATACATAGCAATAACAGCCTCTGTAAATCTAATCCAGTAGATTGAATCTAATGCACCTATGTTTGGGCACCCACACATATAGTGCATGTCTTGCTAGTATATAAATCTATACATCTAACATAGACATTATTGAGTTTATATTGTTCTTATTTTTGTTTGATCCCCATCTGGTTCATATCTAAAGCATCCCTAATTCTCTCCTTTTTCTGGAGATTTATTATTTTGTTTTAAGTTGTTTTAACAGTTCTTTAACATATTAAGAGCAGCTCTTCTTGACATTTCTTCAAACACATAGAGAGTATAACCACATTAACTTAGAAATCTATAACTAAAGACAAGTTGAAGAAGAAGGCAAAGGGGACATAGATGAAGAAGGATGGTGTTAAGAGGACATACCTAGAGAGATGGAGAAAAGAGGAATAAAGGGAAGGAGATGAGGAGTAAGAGGCGGAAGCTCTACCGGAAAAGCACAAGATATAGAAGATGAAGATCGGCCGACGGAAGAGATGGAGAAGATGAACGGAGATGAAGACCGGTTCTTTGGAGTCCTCACAAAATCCCTGGCATTTTGATTGGATTTGGAAGCAATTTTTCTATTTATACTTTAATCAAAATCCATCACAATCCATGTTTTATAACAATCTTTAAAAATCTATCAATTTTTCAATATCATTAGATTTAGGAAGATTTCTTAAAATTTCAATTGAATATCTCAAAATTTTAAAGGATTTTTCAAAATCTCAATTGAATACTCATTGAGTTTTAAAATTTAAAAAAAATAATGCAAATTAGGAATTGAAAGTATTATACACGTTTTTTCCGATTCTCTGCTTTCCAATTTTCCAAATTAGATCGGTAGATTCAAATCATCATAGCCTCTCTCTCTCATCTCCATCGGCCATTCGGTCTATCTCCAAGTCTCCGATTCCTCGTCGGCTCGTCCCTTCTCTCTATCGACTGCAGTAGTTCCGGGCTTCCGGCAAACAGGCGCTAGTGAGCCACCGCTGCAATTCCCGAATTCCAGACGGCAGTGCCTCTGCGCCACAGTAGCAATTCCCGACGGCAGTCCCTCTGTCGTAGCCCCACCAGCCGTTTCCCGTACGTCCCAATTTCCTAACCTAATTTCATAATTTTTATCATTTAATTTCTTCTTTGATTTGAGTATGAAGTTTCAATTCTCAACTCTCAATTGTATAGTTTCAAATTGCATTCTCCACTCAGCTTATGGATGATTTCATAGTTCAAACTTCAAACATAAATCCATGTTTCCTGTAAGCAATTGGATTTCCAATCGTGCGTATGGAATTTCTTCTTCGATTAGAGTATGAAATCATCCAACCTAATTGGGTTTTATATTAGATTTATATTGGATTTTTTGGATTTATTTCAATTTAAAGCAAGATTGCTGTTTTTTATTCACTTTATTCTTTTTTTTGTGAATAAATATGTGCATATTATAAGACGTATTTTATATTTAGGAAACGTTTAATGCACGTATGTATGCGTATACGTATTTTGTACGTTTGAAACATATAATAAGACGTATTTTATAAATTTTTAACGTATTATACACGTACGTACGTATTTCCGTATTATACTTGTGCCGTATATAACTAACTATGTTGGGGATGGAGGGAGTATTTAAAATGTGCATGAGAAATTTTACAAAACCAAAAGTAATTCTATTATTTTATTTATCAAATAATTAATAAAAATACACAAATAAATAAATTTTTTCATGATTTTTGAATAAGAGTGCAAATCATTGTAGATTTGTCTATCTTTCATTTCATCTCTACACTGCCGGTGGAAGTTTTTCCAATGCCCCATTAAGCTCTCACAACAACACAGACCAAAAAAAAAAAACCTCCATGAATCTCCTACTCAAGCTTCACCTGAACTATTATCCTCCAAGACTTTTCCAGCTTTCCAAAACTGGTCTTCATCCCCACACATTATCTCGCCAAACCCATTTTATTTCTCCATCGCACGATCCCAAAACAGACATTTCTTGGGGATACACTAATTCCAAGCGTCCCAAGGCATCGACTGTTCAGAGACCAGCTTGGAGTAGCGTAGCAGAACAGAGGCCGGAGGAGGGCGATGGGTATGAGTACTTGGCAAAAGATGGGGAGGTTTTTCAGAAGACTCTCAGGCTTGTGGAGACTGCCATGTTTGCCTCTGTTTCTGGGTTAGCCTATCTCTTAAGCAATTCTCTTGCGGTTGAGGTATAATAATGATTACGGTATTGGGATTATCTCTTTGAATTTATTTAATTGTTTCACCAGACACTACTTTTTGAGGGATTTTACTGGGTTTGTTGTTGTTGTTGACCTTAAATAGATAGCATATAATGGAAACTTCTAATCCCTAATCAACAGATATCCTTAAGAATGACAATGAAGAGATGTAACTAGAAATACATGAAATTGGAAAATGTTGGCCTGCAATTTTACTAAAATTGAGAGCCATGTTGGTCTTTTGGAAAAGAGTTCACAGTCAAGGTTTTCTTGGATGCAAAGTTCATTTGTAAATTTGTAATTCATTCGTATCTAAAAAGGTGGAAGTCTGTGTACAAAATTCATGAACTTGAAGTTTTTTTTCTGGGGGAGGAGGTCTCAAGTTGTCGTCTTTGATTGTGGGTATTTTATTGCATAAAATTCTGATATAGTTGGTTCCTTCACAGAATTACTTCGGATGTTTCTTCGCATTACCCATAGTAATATCCTCCCTGAGATGGGGTGTTGCAGCCGGAAGAAAAACTATGGTCTGTCCTCGCGTTTATTACACATTTTGTTCTTGCAAGTTTCTAAAAGATCTATACTAAAAAATGACGTAGTTCCATTCTTCTCCACATTATGACGTTTGACAATTCTAATCTAGTTTTTCCATCTCATTAGGTGGCGACTGTTGTGCTGTTGTTTGTCCTGTCTGGTCCAGTGAAAGCGATTAACTATATGGTGAGCAATGATTACAGAATTTTGAACATGTGTTAGGGTTAAGTTTCCGGACTCTGGAGTTCTATTTTGGTAGACATCTTTTAGCTTTTTGTTTGGTTGGAGGGTTTTGGAGGGGAGGAAAGTGAAGCAGATGTCAAATATATGTGTTTTGTTGTTGGGAGTTAGGGGGAAGGGGAGCAAACTAGGAAAGTGGAGGACCTATAAAAACCCATAAAGTCCTTGGTCCTGTTTGGGAACAACATTTTCAATCAGCGTTAGTGTTTTGGATAATTCTTTAACGGTACAGATTGACTTTAAAACTTTAAAGCTAAACGCTACCATTAGATAGCCTTATCAAAATGTCTGAGTTGTTGCCAAACAAACACTTCATCTTTATGTCTCACTGCTTCAATTTGGGAGATTATTTTCTTAATTTCTTTCACGTTATTTTTTAGAAGAGAACTCTTCTACATTATTGCTGTTAACATGTGGATTATATTTTTTTAGTTTCAAATACAATATTTTACATAGTTTTACTAATATTAATTCCATTCTACTTTATCAAACCAAATTTAATGTTTCACGGGTAGTTATGGGTCTTCACAGTAATATTCTAAGTACGCGTAGGAGTGGAGATAAGATTTGTGATTGGTGTACATCTCACCCAATTTCTGAGTGGAATATATGAGTATGTTTGGTTTGGTTTTATTTTGTTTAAGGGCGTAAGGAGCACTACAAATAAGTGTTTTTCTTTTCCAATCATGCTAAAAGCTGTCACTTTCGAGATGACTCTGCTATAAAATTTGAAGCAATACGCCAATACATCATGATGATGAAAAGTTAAACATAAGCTTCGAACGAAAGATTATAAGTTCATTCTGTTTGTAGACTATGCTCATATAAATAGAAATGGATGTCGTATGACCTTCAAGATTATATAGTTTCTTAGTAATCCTTGGCATCATGACTTGAGACGTTCAAGTCTTAATTTGTACGGGGTATACAATTAGCTGCACATTAGCTGATGATAATGTGATATGTTCCGTTAACTCACTGTCTTCATCTCCTTCCATTATCCAGTTAATGCATGGTCTACTTGGGTTGACTATGGGCTCTTTATGGAGGTATGCAAATCATAGCCCTTAGTTTCTACCTGCTTTGACATTTTATTAGTTTTTTTGGGGATCATTCCTGGTGTTTGTTTTTTTCTACCAAAGTCGATGTGATGCTGGAACATAAGCCCAATAAATATTAACGCGTTGAATATTACATGGTTTTGCCCCTTTACGCTATGTTTGGATGGAAGAGAAAACAATAATGATTCTCTCCTTTTCCTTACCAAAATGGAAGGAAAGTTGTTTTCATTCCTATTTTACTTTCTTTTCTTATTTCTTTTCCTTCCACGTCTTCTCTTTTCCTCTCTAACCAAACAAGAAAACTCATTTTCCATATCATCTTCCTTTTCCTTTTCAAATTCCTTGAACCAAACATAGTGTTAACTGTTGAGAATTGTCATAGAAGAGGGACATATTTTCTAAAAGTTGTGTATATACTCCCTCAATCCCCAAAATAAAATTCATAGTTTGACTTCTTTGAGCTTAAGAAAAAATGTTGAAAAGTAAAGTGTGCGGTAAAAACACGTTTGGAAGAGAGAAATGTTTTGAGTCACATATTCTATCCTTGAAAAGGAAAGGGAAGAAGTATGAACTTTGTTTTGGCACGGATAAAAAATGAAAGTGTGGGTTTACTTTGGGAACATAGGGAGTCTGGGAGTAAATTATATTGGACTCTATTCAATTCTTCCCCAGCTTTCCTCCCGGGCTATATAACGGTTTTGCTACTGTAATAATTTCAGGTTGCGCGCTAATTGGACGCAATCAATCTTCTTGTGTGCCCTTGTACTGTTTCCATTCCCTCCAGTTTAAGTATCTTTTCCTTTGCTCAGAAACTGGATTCTTTTGGAACCTTGGAAATGCTAGGGAATAAAAATAAGGGTGAAACTAGAATGAAAGGGAATTTATAATAAATAATGTAAATTGAGGGGCTCCATTTTATATATTTGTTCAAGATTATTTTATGTATCCATTTAATTTTTTCTGAAGATTTTTTGCAGGCTCGGGCAATAGGTGCCATAGGGTATGTGCTATTGTCTTCGTTTCTAATAAGAGAAAACATACTCCAATTGGTAAATCGTGGTCCTCAAAGCTCTCCTAATTAATCTACGTTTCGGTCTTCTGTTTCTCCCAATGTCTAATGTTTCTTTCACTTGTGATATTTGGTCTGCGGTTTTTTCTATAGATTACCATAAATATCCATGCTTCCCTCTCGTACGTCCTCACATCCATTGGAAGCAATTCAATTCCAACAATGGATGTCATATACACCATTTTCGGGACTCTGGTATGTGTGTTCCTGAGGATTTTCTCTGCTGCAGTGGACCTCTTAGACTGTTCATTGCTGAATTTAGGACTTATTTTTCAAGAAAATAAGAGCTTGTTCTCTTCAACTTATTCTTTTTACTTATTACTTGTTCTTATTGGAGTCAGATCAGATCAGAAACAAGTTTAAGTATAACTACGATCAGATCAGATCAAAACTTATTTGAATCAGATCAGAACCAATCACATTAGTTGAAGAAAACAAGCCCCAAGTGCTTAAAGTGTTTTCTTAAAAAAAAGTACTCGCAGTATTTAACTCTTGAGTAAATTCCACAAATGGTCTTCTATGATTAAGGATATTTTATATTTGGTCCATTACTTCCTGAAATTGCATTGGGAGTCCCCATTAATTGTGAATGTTTTCCAGTTTTAGTCTTCTATTAGCTTATTTCTCTTAAAAGAAGGATGGTCCACTGCAATTAGGATTTTCATTGATCCTTTGGTATTTGGAAGCTAATATTTCCCGTCTTTTGTATTCGCAGCTTCTCATCAACTCGGCTTTCTTTGCGCTACTGCTACATATTCTGTATGCAATCTTCTTTGCCAAGTTTGGGATGAAGGCTTCATTGAGACTCCCCAAATGGGTTGAGGCTGCAATATAAGATATGCATCCTAAGAGTAGAGCTGAGCAGAGTGTGGGGTGGTGTCAAATTTGTGTTGTAATGGCTAAAGTGAAAGTATATAGTTGAAATGATTCCAAAGTGTGAGGGAGAATATGATAATCACATAATCACACTCTTTCAAACAGTTTCGAACTCTTTTTGATTCCTTCTAAATCCTTCCAGTTTCTTCCAACAGGCAACAACGACTTAAAAAAGAATTTATATATGATGCATATATACTAACATTATATATCTAAATTTATATCATACCCCCTCAAACACGGACAATGATGAGCTCATTCTTTTTTTAATTAAAACAAAAGATGGGTTTTTGAAAAAACCGCAGTTGACCCGGTTCCCGGGTCTACTGATTCAGGCGGTTTTGGGCGGGATTTTGGGAAACTGGGTTTCATGTTAACCCGGACCGTTGTCACCAGTTCGCAGTCTGACTGGTTGGACCGGCTGATCCGTTTTGGATTTAAAAACATTGCGTCTAAGTACTTAAAAAAGATATTTATATATGATGCATATATACTAACATTATATATTCACATCTATGTCATACCCCTCAAGCACGGATAATGTTGAATTTTTTATCCAAAATTAAAGTTCTTTTACATATTAATTTAGATGATTATTTAATTGAGTGATTTTTTAACATTTGAATTCTTCCATTCTAACTCTTTCTAATTTTTTTTTTCAATTCTTTCCTTCTTCAAATTCCTTCCGCTTTCTTCCAACATTCAAAATTCCAATTCAAAATAAAAATTACATAACAAAATACTACATCAAAAGATCTACAAAACTAGTAGTGACAACAATATTTTATTTTATCAAATTGCTAACGAAAATAGAGAAAGAAGGTGAATGAAGTTTGACCCTGTGAATAGTGAATAGGCATTATAATTTGGGACGGAGGGAGTAGGACCTAACAACATCTCCAACCATGCTTGCTATATTAAATTGTTATTGTTAAATTTTAGCTAGTGAATAGTAATATAGCAAGTAGTTTTTTCCTCCATTCTCCAACCATGCTTGCTAAATTTTAACCAAGAATGGATTTTTCTAGTGCTCTCTCTTTATTCTCACGATGAGATTACTTTTTTGGATCCTTAATTTAATTTTTTATTAACTTTTTTGGCTTGCTATTATTTGGGTGGCTTGCTATGTTTAGCAAGTCAATTTTACTTTTTGACTAGTGTGCTATAATATACCACATCCCTTGGAGATGGAAAAAATAGACTCACTTGCTATTATATAAGTTTTAGCAAGTCATATTGATAAGGTTGGAGATGCTCTAAGTGACTACACCAATTTCTAATCCACAGTCCCATGGAAAACTAGTTTGATTGATTTTTACAATATCAATTCAACTCTTATTTAAAAATAAAATTTTATAGAACTAAAATTATTTATCAGATTGATATACATGTAATAATTTATATTACTATTTTCGTCCTTAAGTATTTTTTTTAGTTTTGATTTTTTGCAGTCAATCTTTTTCCACCTTGACATGGAATTACATGAAAATTATATTGTAAATTAATTAAATAAAATAATAATTTGAAAACATTTTTGTAAAAATATCTAATACGGAGTATCAATTTTATTTAATTAGTGGTCAAATTTGTAAATTTTGATTGTAAAAAGTCAAAATTAGACAAAAATTCAAGGACGGAAGTGATATTTTTTTATAAATTTCTAAATATGACATAACAAAATAAAAATCCAAAATATTTAAATATATGTTTACAAATCAAATTTTACTTAGTTTTGTTAATTATGTCCAGCTTTTACCTCAAGAAAAAGATATATTTATTGCATACTCCGTAAATAGTTAAATACTCCGTACTTTGTATGGATAGGGAAAATAAAAATTTTGACCAAACAAAATAAAAATGTTGACCAAAGTTATTTTTCCTTCCCTATCGAATCGCGCTAGCCTAGCTTTGGAAAAGCGCCGTTCTTCCCTATTGCATCCCCCGCAGCTTCAGGTATTCCTCTCTCTTCTCTAAGCCTCCATCTTCAGTCTGCGTGTCTTCCTCTCGCAGCTCTCATCAAATTATTTAATCACCACGTTTTTCTGACCCTTCACCCAATCGCACGAAACCAATCGCCATCTTCACATCGCCTTCTTCTTCCGGTTCCGATCGCCAATCGACAGGTATTCCGGTGGCCGTTCAATTTTCACTTTTTTTCCGATTTGCTCTGCTCTTCAATTCCACCATAATCGCTGCATAGTTATCTTTTTTGTATCAATTTTGATCGCCATCTGCTTCTTCGCTGCTCAATTCAGATTTTTTTACGTGCTTATTTTTGTTCTGCTATGCTCTTCAATTTCTATAGCCATTGCTCACTTTTTTTTGCACTTCAATTTTCACTTTTTTTTTTCAATTTCCAGATTTTTTTCCACTTTTTTCGTTCTGCTCTACTTCAATTTTACACTTTTTTCAATTTTCAATTTCCAGTTTTTAATTTCCTCTGCTTACTACAATTTTCATTTTTTTCAGTTTCCAGCTTTCTTTCACTTTTTTTTTTCAGTTTTCGTTCTTTTTGTTTCCTTTTTTTCAGTTTTTGTTTCTTTCAGTTTTCCTTTTTTTTTTCCACTGTTTTTTGTTTCTGTTTTTCAGCTTTTGTTTCTTTTTGATTCCTGATATATGGAATATATAAATTATATGAACATTGGAATATAGTTTTTTGAAAAAGAAATTAGACATTTGATCACTTGAACTTGTATTGCTGCAAAAGAGTCATTAGAGGTGATAGCTTAATTATATCCATCGTGAATGGAGTTTATCCCACTGTTAGTTCTCAATAGAAATCAAAATAATCCATACTTCATATATAACTAAATTTCTGGTGTATAAACTCTGTAATTGGTATTCCTGATATATGGAATATATAAATTATATGCACATTGGAATATATTTTTTTAAAAAGAAATTAGACATTTGATCACTTGAACTTGTATTGCTGCATTGTCAATTATATTTTTTAAAAAAGAAATTAGACATTTGATCACTATTTTATTTATCATAAGACTTGTGTCTAAATATGTCGTTTTTTGTGAACATATGTTACATTTGAAGTCAATGTCCATGTTTTTTGATGTGTGGAAGAGCAATATGGTTGATGTTTTTATTATGAAATGTATGACAACTAAATTTTGATCCGTTGCATTTATATAAGATGATGTTACTTAGAAGTTTCGTCCAAGAGTGTTTATTTAATTTTAAAATTTTACATTTGAAATTTAAATAAATTCTAATAAATTAAATTAAAAAAATGTTTAGAATTGATGTAAAAACAATTTTGTATATATATATTTTACGTACGCATATAAAAGTCCGTACAAAAGAATATAATGTGAAAGGTAATTTCATAAAAATATATCCTAAACAAATAAAGAAAAACAACCACAAGGATATTTTAGTACTTTTATTCTTTCCCTACCTACCTACTCCCTCCGTCCCAAAAAGTCTTTCCTGTTTCATTTTTTGCGCATCCCATAAAACACTTCTATCACGTCTTGAATGCCAAAAAAACTTTCAAAATAACTTCTACCCATAATAAAGAAGAAATGTTAGAAATTTTAGGCATTTTAGATGTCGGTAGAAGTGTTATATGAGATGTGCAAAAAATGAAACAGGAAAGACTTTTTGGGACGGAGGGAGTAATAAACATCCAAACACATTTTTTTAACTTATTACCTTACTTTACCTACCTTCAATTACCTACCATTACCTACCTAATAAAACTTTTACTTACCTCCAACCAAACATAGCCTAATTTATCTACCTTCAATTACCTACCTTCGATTACTACCATTACCTACTTAATAAAACTTTTCCTACTCCATCCAAACATACTTCAAGTATGTTTTCTTCTTCTTTTTTGTACATTTTTATTCCCTCCAGGAGTAGTTATTCAATTATACTGTACCTCCCTAATTCTACATTGTTTTATGAATGCATGATGTTGTGTGTGTGTGTGTCCAGTACATATGTAGGATCTTACTATCTGGGTTACCATCTTATAATTTAGGATCTTTTATTGTTATCCCGATCCTCCGCAGAATCTAGAGTTTGACTGCCTTAACACAACTATAACACTCTACAATTCTCTAGCATAACGTTGTGACGTCGTGTAGAGAGGTGTGTAATTTTTTAGGGATTTTTTTTTGGAATTCTAGTGTAGGTCAAATCTTATGGTGTTCCACAGAGCCCATCATTGGATCAAGACATCAAATATATTATCATCCTCCATAGAGGGTGTGGACTGTGGAATTTAGGGTTTTATTAGATTGTAAATTCATCGTTACGCTTTAAATTTTGATTATTTTTAGTTGTATAAGTTTCAATTTGTTTTACAATTGTGGTCTGGTTAATTGAGTTGGTTGTTTCTTTGATCTTCACAGGTATTATTGATTGGAAGCAGATATTAGATGATGGGTAAGGTTCTGTTCCCCCCCCCCTCCCTCCCACACACAAAAAAAACTGAATTTTCTTTGTGAATGAAATGGAGCAAGTACTCTGCATTTTATCTGATTGTTTGATTATTTTGGGGGATGGGCTTGTCTTTTTCTTGTCCTTTTAGCCAAAGAAGATAATCAGTCTCGAAGAGAACGCAGGAAGGAAGCTCGGTTATCAAAGAACAAGAAGAAATTTGATTCGTGGCTCCAACATCATAAAGTAAGATACACTTGGAGTAGAAAAGACTCCCTTAGGCTGGTTGTAAAAAGCTCATCGGCTTATAAAGAATAAATATCTAGAAGATAAATGAAAAATATGTTTGTTTTAATGTTGTGCTTATGTTATTTACTCTGTAAATCAATAAATTGCAGAAATCATTGAAACATGAAAAGATTGAACTGGGGTTGGTTGTCCCAAAGAATAGTATGGATTTGCTCAAGGACTCTGATATTGCACCAGGATATGACATTGATTCTTCCCATGTATTGGAAAGCTCTAAGGCTCAAAAAAACAAACTCAAAAGGAAATGTGACTTATTAAGTTCAAACACAAAAGTCAATGAATGTGTGGCAATGAATATGAAGGGAGGGGTTACTTTTGCAGAAGATCATATGGTATCAAAACGGACATTAGAAAAGAAACCCAAAGAGAAGCGTGTCAAAATGGGTAGTGATGGTGATATTAATGTAGCCGGTCAAATAGAGGAGTTTCCAAAGGGTACAAAGAGTCACTCTTCAGGCAAGATAGGCACGAAGAAGAAACAATCTTCAGATGCGAATGCAGTGGATAAACTACCTGGCAGAAGGGTTAAAAAATCTGTTTCTCTGCCGTCAAAGGAGTTAGCTAAGAAAAATAGAAACAAAACAAGGTTTGAAGAGTTGATTGAATCCGAAAAGGGTGTAATTCCAGCTGAAGAGGATCTGGATTTGGAAAAAGAGCTTGCGAAGAAACTGAAGGTGAAGGGAGGGAAATTAAAAGGAGATGATGACGGCATTAATATGTTATTTGATGACATTCCTTCTGTTCTTGAATTGATTGAGGATCAAAAGCTCCAAAGTGCAGAAAAAAGTGATATGAAGATCCTAGACAAAACGTTGCATAAAAAATCTAAAAACTCTAAGTCAATCAAACAAAAGCAGTTCATAGAAGGAGAGCAAGAGCAGGATCTACAGTTTGTAAATCCAACTGACAGAGCTTATGAAGCATCTTCCCCACCAGTAACTTCTGGTACTAATGCGGAACCGGGAAAACTGTCTGCTCAGTCTGCACTTGGAGGAAACATGAAATATATTGCTCCTCACAAAAGATTTCAAATGGGAAGCGAATCACAAGACAGTGCTCAAATTCGCAAACAAGTCCGAGGCATGTTGTTTTTGGGAATATGTTTTTTTGTTTTGCTTGTAGTCTTGTATAATATTTGTTTGTGTTTATTCTCATCCCAATCTTTCACAGGTCTCTTGAATAGGCTATCAGAATCAAATGTGGAATCAATCACAGGTGAAGTTTCTACAATCGTCCATGTAATTGACTACTCCCACCATATTCATTAGGCAGTTTTTTATGTAAATGAATAAACTTGTGTTTAATTTGAGTGTAGAGAAGTGTTTTTAATTTATTACAAGCGTGTATAGAAATTAAGGTGGCACTGCATTTGAGTGTGGATATTGGAAGGTGCAATATCATGTTGCATGAATCTGTAAACTGAGTAGGCCATAGGGTCATATATATTCTAGGCCCTAGGGAAGTAGACTTGAGTTTGGACCTTCAAATGGGAAAGCTCGATGTTCATTTTGAGACCTTCCTGTGAACCGCATATAAAATTAAGTTCTACTATGTATTACATTTGTCCATTGCCAGCAAAGCTAAAAGAGTCATTATATACAGTGTTTTAACTTCGGTCAAATAATGGACTATATCGAAATGTTTTAGCTTTTGGCAGTATTGCAACACTGAATCAAGGGTCTAACAAAACAGCCTCCCTTTTTTGGTTTTTTTCCACCGAGTTAAGGCTGTGACACCTTGGCCCCTAACACCCAAACAAAGTTAGGTCTTAGGATTGTACCAAGTTTTGTTGTTGTTTTGTGAGATGTGATTATTCATAAGAGCTAAAAGCGGCCACCATATTCTGTTTTATCTGGCCTCTTAAAATTGAGATGCCCTAACCTACAAGTGGGGTCTCAGTGTGTGTGTGTGTGGTAGTGTGGATGTGTGCAGATGTTACCCTTATCCATGTAGGTTGGAGTTGCCTTGAACTAGCATATTATTTTATAGTATATATGACTGCAAAGGTTACAGCTGCAGATTAGCTCATTTCTTCTGTGTGGCTTGGCATTAAATTTTTTCAGTATAGATCACTGCAAAGTTTACAGCTATAGATAGTAGATTTGCTCATTTCTTCCATGTAGCTTGGCATTTAATTCTTTAGCATAGATCAATGCAAAGTTTACAGCTATAAGATAATATATTTGCTCATTGCTTCCACGTGGCTTGGCATTTAATTTTGTTCTAGTATAGATCACTGCAAAGTTTAGAGCTATAGCTTGGCTCATTTCTTCCATGTGGCTTTGCAGTTTGCATTTAATCATTAATGGAGATTCTTTAAATTGCAGACCGCTGGTCGCTCTCTTTGTTCATCCATTATATCTGAAGAGGTTTTGGCTTCATGTTCGGGAGGTCCACGTGGCAATGAACAGTTAAGAATCACACTCTGAGGATTTTCTGTTTTTTCTTTTCATCATCATTTTTCTTTCTGGACTGTATACCCATTTCTTTTACATACAAAATATTTTCAGCGTCGTGTGGATCTTTTGATAGCCTGTGTTTTAATTTGAAAAATAATTAAAAGTTGTAACTTGGGACTCATTTCCAACCATTTCACTCACATCACAACTAGACACTATTTTTATCATTTAGCACTTGATTTTTTCCCATGAAGCTGCAACAACAACAACAACCCAGTTGGATCCCACACGAGTAGGGTGTTTGTACGCAGACCTTGCCGACCCCAACTCAGCTGCATAGATAAAAAGATCGCAGAAGATACATAAAGCAAAGAATGGGCGGATAAAGTACAAAACACAGAGAGACAACAACAACAACCCAGTTAAATCTCACAAAACACAGAGAGACAAAGAACAAATTATGGGTAACAGAGGAAAGTACTGCAAACAGAGAACACCAAGCATACAAGGCATACCAAGCACACAACAAGTACATAAAGCTCCTCTTAGCTTAAAACGCCCACCCAACTACTCTAGTCCTAGCTTTTCAAACACTCCTATCTAAGACCATATCCCCAGTAAGGGCAAGAAGACCCAATCCTTTCTAATCACTTCCTTCCAGGTCTTCCTAGGTCTACCCCTTCCCCTACTCCCACCTACTAGCCTAAGCCTCTTTCATCTTCGCACAGGAGTGTCAACATTCCGTTGCCACACATGCCCAAACCATCTCAACCTAGCTTCGCACAACTTGTCTTCCATGAAGCTGCAAATCTAAAATTGGTTAAGGGTTTGTAGAATTGTAGATTGCAGCGTGTATAGAATAAAAGTTTGCTTAATACCTCTACCTTCTTGCATTTCTGGAACTGATTAAAATTTTATCCATTTCTCTCTCCCTTCAAACCAAAGTAAGTCACCTTTTTATTTTAAAATATTTATTGTTTCATGAAATTGGCAGATACGCAGCAGTCTTTGCAGCTTTTGTTGCTGGCATGTCTTGCTTAGTTGGTATTGACTTTGGTGTCAAGATTCTAGCTTCACTGGCAAAAACATTTGAGGTGCATGACTTGTTAACAAATATTCCACCTTATGAATTACTTCATTCGTCCCATGATTTTGATTTGTTAATAAACGTTCCACCTTAGTTCCATGTTTGGCTTGGCACACTTTTTAATAACATGGAAATTTTGTGGTTGAACTTTGTTTAGAGTAGAGAGAAACAATATGGACGACAAACCTTTTTCTTAAAAAGGAAAGGGGAGCAAATTTATGGGACGTCCCTAATAGGAAATAAAGAATAAAATTATGGCATGGAGGGAGAATTTTTTGAGTGGTTTGTATATAGGAACTAATGAAACTGCAACTAGTTAAAAAGCACAAATGAAAAAAAATCTAACTCACTATCTTTTGTGTGTTTGTGCGTGTGTGTGCACACATGCACACATGATTCCCATGATACTCTTCTCATGCATTCTTCTTTTGTATTCTCTGTATAGGAAGAGTACTTAAAAGAGGACAACATGTCATTGAGGAATCTGACTCTTCTGCTTTCATACTTATACATATTTGGAGTTTTCTCTAGGTAGGTGAAAATTTTGATTCTTCTTTTTTCCACATATAGGTATATATATAGATGCATCCCATACATCATTCTATTTTCTCACCCTCACATGATTTAGACTAATTGTAACTCCTTATTTAATATGCTCTCCAGTGATTTAATATATGATTTCTTGGTAATGCTGAGTAAGAGATTGACAGAGGCCGATGTTGCTACAATTTTGTCTGTCCTACAATGTAAGTTTTCCTGATACTATTTTTATAATCAGATTGCTTTAGTGCCAATAAATCACTTTGATCTTTTTAACCATGTAATCGGGATTTATCAAGAGAAATATTTCTAGTAAAAAAACAACTATTGGGCTAGTTAGTCTGGAATCAGTTGCCATTAGTTCATTTTTGTGACTGAACAGGCTGTGGGATGAAATTGAGAGGGGATGATCCTATTGCTATGAAGAATTTCATAATGAGCATTCAGAACAGGGTTAACGAATTGAAGACCTTGCCTACAGCTACACAATCCAATCTTAACAGCAAAAGGGTATGCTTACCGTCTACTTTTCGTTCATAACCATTTGTCCATTATGTTGTCTCTTCAAGACAAGAAATATTTCCTGGTATTATCTGAGTAATTGTATATATCATCATGTTGTAGATGGAATTCATGCTTCAGACAATATGTGAAATAAAAAACAACAAAAAGAAGCCCAAGGAGGAAACTGTGCAGCTTACTCGAATAAAAAAATGGCTACAGAAGGTTTGCATCCATTGTTATATCATCTATTTCAAAAGTATGTTATGCATGCTGCACAAAAAGTGTAATTGGGACACCGGATTCATTTCGGCACCAAATAAAATTTTATGTAGAGACAGGGTACAATGCCTTATGTCGAGCCATCACGTATTTGCATTGTGTTACCACAGTACTCTGGTTGTCAATTATGATTTCTACATTAAGTTAAATCTCTATGCAACTTTTTTTTCTTTTTTCTTTTGATTACAGCTTAGAGTGGATGATATTATACTCCGGGGATTAAAGTGGTGCAAGCTTATAGATCCAGACAAGAGAGGTCAGTGGTGGTTGTCTGGGGATGTGAATGTAAAATCCGTTCAAAATAATGTTAGGGAGGTTGCAAAAACAATTGACATGGAGGTCCTTGAGGCTCAAAGAATGCTAGAGCTTGCTGCCGGACAGAGGATGAACACAGATGCAAGAAGAGCAATTTTCTGTGTAATAATGAGTGGAGAGGATTACATTGATGCATTTGAGAAGCTTCTAAGATTGGATTTGCCTGGGAAGCAGGTTAGGATTCATCCTTTTGTTGTCTCACTCTTTAGGGAGTGAGCCAACCTTATACCTATGTTATGTAACATGACATTGTTTGGTAAAGATTACCTTCAAGGGGTAATGGGATTACCTTCATTTTCCTATATATTATATGATTAAATTGGTAAAGATTAGACTATTATGAGTCTGTCAGTGATAATTTGACAACACGTGTAAAATCACATTATATGAACTAAATGGCTAAGGGGCGTTTGGGAAGATTCGCAAAATGTGAGATTTATCTTAGATAATATTATTACTGCATGTAAAAATTTGTAAGATGATCGGAATATGATACTACCTTATTTTGTTTGGTTATTAAATGTGATGTTCCTATCTGCTGATTTGAATAAATGTATCATGTTTAACACTTGTCCCCTGTTTTTTAGAAAATTATGGAATACCTTATATGGACAATTAGCATTGCTTGTGAAATAGTACCCTCTTTGGGACAAAAGGCGATTGCAACAACTCTTTTTTTGAGACATGGGGAGTTTTACTGAGGTTGTTGAATTGCCAAGAACAAACTGGGAATAGTATACAATATTGCCTTGTCATAGTCCGTGGTAATCCTTATAGTTAAAGTATCCTGACAATCCTTAAAAAAAATGCTCCCTAACAGTGTTACATAGTATTATGGTAGCAAACCAATTTAGTTTCTCACCCTTTTTGGTCTACAGGATAGGGAGATCATGCGTGTTCTTGTGGAGTGCTGCTTGCAGGAGAAAGTGTTCAATAAGTACTACTGTGCATTAGCCTCTAAGTTATGCAGCCACGATAAAAACCACAAGTTCACTCTGCAGGTATGCAGGAACAATGATATAATCTATAGAGATTTTGTCCCATTTTTGTTAATGTTATTTTGCTCAAAAGGCTTAATTTCCCCAAGGCAGTTTTTGGGAACTAACATTTCATTTCAATTCCAAAATTTAAATTCTTGAACTTCAAATGACAATGAGAGACATAAGGATTTGCAATTGAGCTTTGCAATGAACTAGAGGTATTTGCCTCAAATCCAAATCCAAAATTTTCAAGATTTCCCAAACATGAAATTTGGCTCAAATCCAGATTTGAAATCCAAATTCCAGTTCCCAAAAATGCTTCAAAGGAAAAGCATTTGGTAACATCTATTTTTGTCAGAAGCTAGTCATTCTACTGATAAGCCACAATAGTCTAGAACGGGCTACCAAATGGCCCTTGAAGCCATGATTAACCAATAATCATCATGCCCATATTTATTATGTGTATTTTGTAATGATGCAATGCAGTATTGCCTTTGGGACCATTTCAAGGAACTGGAATCAATGCAGCTGATGAGATCGATGCACCTCTCAAGATTCATTGCGGAGATGCTTTCCTCTTTTACCCTTTCGCTTTCAGTCCTAAAGGCAGTTGATTTTGGTGATATTACGCAATTAACCCCAAAAAAGATCATGCACTTCCGGATGCTTTTTGAAGCCATATTTGAGTTCACGGAGGAACGCGTATGGAACATATTCACCCGGATAGCCATGCCGGAGTACGAGACGCTTTGTAATGGGATTGCCATATTTATAAGGGAGTATGTTGCAAGTGGTGGTCAGAAGAAGTCTTTGGCTGGTAAGTTCAAGATTGCCAAGAAGGCCATGAACAATGTTGAAGGGGTATTGATGTGAGACTTGGTTTTGGTGCTTCTTTTTGTAGGGTGAGATGATAAATATTTAATACCCAGTTGCTTAGGTTTTTTCCCCTAATGCTACACAACAACTTTGAGGTTTTTACTTGTTTTTTGTGTTCAAGGATTTTGTGCATTGTCCTAGTGAATACAACTATGTCTTATGGAGTATCTAATATAAGGTACTTAAGGGATCCATGTTTTTGTTAAAAGCTAGCCCGGTTGATCACCCCTATTTGGGCCAACAAGCCTGCTCACATTCTTATTATCTTGCGGCCCGGCCTGGCCCGTTTGAGTTCGTATAGTTGTTCATATCTTCTCGTTTTAAGGGCATGATAGTTGGACTGGACAGTTCGGTCCGAGTTTGTACAGGTCCCACTTTTTCCTGTCTCCTTCCGCTCTCCCTCTCCCTTGTAACTGAGTAAAGGAAACCTTCACTCCTTTCCCTCTCCAACCAAACAGGCCCTAAAATGGAATTTGAAGCGCTACTAACTTTTTATAACCAATTCGTGTTAGAAGAAATGGATATCCTAGTATGATAGTGCATTCAGCATAAAAAGGCATCTATGTCATTCAAGTGTTACTTAACTCACATAAGCTTGGATTTTCAAAAACAAGTCAATTAGTTTTACTACCCAATCTTTTTAATAAACATAGCACTAGTGCCCCACCAAAAAATTTGTACGCCCCACTAATATTTCTCAACCTAACAAAAGGCCAAAACATTTTAACACTAATTAAAAAATAGTTTTAGTAATCTATTTATGCATAATTTTTAAACGCAAAAATATTTATTCATTTAGTTATAAAGTATGAATAGTAATTTAAAATATTGAGGGAAATTTTAATGCCGGAGTACTATTTTTATCGCTTCACATTGTTTTTCAAAATGAAATTATCTCTAGGCCCCTACCTTATCCTCCTAGTGAATTGTCAAACATCATCATGACCTTGTTTGGGACCAACGTTTTCAACTAGCGTTAGCGCTTTGAATAAAACTTAAATGATGTAAATTAATTCTGAAAACACTAACGCTAAAGGCTAACGCCAATCTGTAACGCTGGGCTCAGTTAGCCAACCTAATCCGATCCGAAGTCCAGACAAAGTTGGGCTCCAAGGTAGCCCATTATAGTATAGATAGTGCTGGATAGAAGAATCTTGTCGTCCCAAACCCAAACTCGCTCGTCAGCACCACCTCCTCTCTAATCGCGAGAAGTTGAAAAACCCAAATCCCCAATCTGCAACCCTCGATCAACCCTCCCATGGTTTCTCCGGCAACCGCCTCTCAAATTGAGGGAGCGCCTCCACAGCCGGATCTTTCGAATGTAGAGAAGCAGACGCAGTCTGCGGTGGATGCGGCTTCTAGGCCACCGGAATCTGCCGATAAGAATGGAGGCGCTGCGGCTGAGCAGCAAGCGGCGTCCGCGGCATCGGCCGCTATACCTAAGTGGCCAGGGTGGCCCGGGGATAACGTTTTCAGGCTCGTAGTTCCGGTTCTTAAGGTGGGCAGCATAATTGGGCGTAAGGGCGAGTTCGTGAAGAAGATGTGTGAGGAAAGCCGAGCTCGCATTCGTATCCTGGAAGCCCCGATTGGGAACCCAGATCGGATTGTAAGACAATTGTTCTTTGAAGTTATTCCTTATTTTTCTTTAACCTAAGAACAGTTTACTCCCTCTATTTGTTCAGGTTGGATTTTTTTTTTCCAATTAAGCAGAACATATTTTTATTATTTTTTTGGTACAACAAATTTGGATTTTAATACAAGGAAATAATTTTATGAAATAAATCTATAGAAATCATTTTTTGTATTAGTATACAATAAGTTTTTTTATTTAATTGATGATCACATTTTGTTCAATCAAGAATTCTAAAGTCTAGACATAGTAAGGACATTAATATGAGCATATCAATTTCACTGATTTTCTCGGGCTATTTCTTCTCTAACCAGGTTGCTGTCAACCTCATTGAGTGTCTAAACCTAAACAACTGAATAAAAATCATACCTTTGCATTCCAAAACTATGTGTCCTCCGTCCCAAAATGAAATTTACCATTTAGTTTCATTGTGATTAAGGAAGTGCTTGAAAGTAAAACGTGTATAGTTGAGAATTGAGATTTATTTGGAAGATAGGGAAATTCTATGAACCACATATTCTTTTGCTTGATTGGTAAGTGAGAAAGTTCGAACTTCATTTTTGGACGGAGGGAATATGATTTCTTCTTCCATAAAGCTCAAGTAAGGAAAGAAAGACAGTGTTTTTGCAAAAAGTAAATTATGGCACCCACTTTTGTGTCATCTGCCAAGCAAAAAAATGTAACCTGTTTTTTTGTACACTGTAGGTTCTAATTACTGCAAGAGAAGATCCCGATCTACCACTATCTCCTGCCATGGATGGAACACTGAGAGTATTCAAACGTGTTTCTGGATTGTCTCCTACAGAGGAAGGTGGTGCAGATTCTGCAGCTGCCATGACTGCATTCAGTTCAATTAAATTATTGGTGGCTGCTTCACAAGCTGCTCACTTGATAGGGAAGCAAGGGTCCACAATCAAATCGATACAAGAAAACTTTGGCGCCTCGGTGCGGGTTTTACCTGAAGGTTTGCTGACATAAAATCTCACTGCTGTCTTTTTAATAACATCCTTTTGTGAAAATAAGTTATTTTCTTTACTCGCCTTGTGCAATTTCTCCTGGCCAGGTGATTTGTTTATTACTTAAAAACATGAGTAGTTCAATACTTACGACTTGGACCATCTTTATCACAAGTCTTCAACTTTTTTCACTCTCTGTGTACTGAGTGCATAGTCATGCACTTGTAGAGTTGTCGCATATCACAACCTGATCATGGTTTGCAGGATTGTAATACTTTCCTGTAAGATTTAAGTCTTGTGATACCTTATACTTGATGTTTTACAGCTTTTATCCCATTTATTTGCCGCATTTTCTGCTCCCAAGTGAAATATGATGTTTTGATTTTTAATTTCTTTAAATAAAATACGTAGTATTCAATTTTTGAGAGACAGGGTCCGATTGCATTTTTCAAATAAGGTAGTGCATTTTTGGAAGTGGCAGTGAAGTTTGATTTCTTTACAAATTTGCCACCACAATTTCATTCATTTTTCATATTTTTTATTTTAATAGTCCTTAGATGTCAATTCTTCAGTCCAACGGATTGTATGCATTCTCATTTCTTTCACCATGCATCATTCTCCCATGAGCATATATACACACACACAGACACACACACACACACACACATATATCTGTGTGTGTGTATGACATATTAAAGGAACTAGATATTTTTTAAGGTTGATGACCATGTGCTGCTCGTTGCTATTTGTTTTCAATTTGAAAATAATATCTTCGGTTTCCCCTTCTCTCAGATGAATCGCCGCCATTTGCTGCTCCTGATGAGAGAATTGTTGATATTCATGGTGAGGCGCAGAAGGTTCTCAAAGCTTTGGAGGCAATATTAGGACAATTAAGGAAGTTTTTGGTTGATCACACTGTTTTGCCTATATTTGAGAAGCCTGTAAGTGTTATGTTATTGATATATGCTATGCTCTTCTTTTTCTTCTATATGCTTACTGAGGCATGATCCATTGCAGCAAGAATCAACTGTTCCTCAAGATCGCCCATCTGAGCCCTGGATGGAAATGCCCCGGGCCCCATATCTACCTACTTCTGTTCCCTCACGAACAACTCAATCTCTTTCTGAGTATTCACTTCCCATGAAACGGGATCCTTATTCACTTGATCTGGATACCTCATTGGACGCCAAGCTTCAACGCTCTTCAGTTTCGCTCTTTGGACAAGATCCTGCACTTCATGGATTACCCTCTTCTGTATCTTTACGGACTGCTCCAGTTGTTACTCAGGTTAGTATAGTATTTATTTGTTAAATCTCTTTAACTTGTAAACCTTCTTGATTTTTTTGTCAAGGTTGTCATTTGTTTCCTCCAATCACTTAACTGGCAGTGGAAGTAAGTTTAAAATCTAAAATAATTAGTCAATAGATATCAAGTAGACTTTATTTAATTCATGCAAAATATAAAAATTTGGTATTACATGTAACATTATATATGCAACATGTTATCCAACATTTTCTTTCACATATCAGCTTTTTTCCCCTTCTCCCTCATCAGAGGCATATCTTTGTGTGTGAATTCTGGTATGCATTTATCAATTAATCCTTCTAAGTCCTTATTTTTGGAGATAAAACACTTGACCCTCCAAAACCATCAAAACAAACTGATCCAAATAGTGGAATGAGTCAGAACATTCTTTATGTAGAATAGGACATCTGATTCCACTTTTGAATTTTCGATTCCATAACGTTCTGAATCATCTTTGCTCATATGTAGCATTGCTTTTAACACAATTATATTCTTGTTGATATATGAATAATGTTCCCTTTGTGTTTACCTGGGGTAGATGACAAAGATAATGCAAGTGCCCCTATCATATGCTGAGGATATTATTGGTATAAGTGGAACAAATATTGCACATATCCGTCGCACTAGTGGGGCAATTCTTAGCATACAAGAAAGCAGAGGCTCACCTGATGAAATTACTATTGAAATTAAAGGGGCATCACCTCAAGTTCAAACGGCTGAGCAGCTTATTCAGGTAGTCTCCCATCTTAGCTGAATCTTGTCTCTTTAGCTTTGTTACATTGCAATTGGTACTGATTTTGCTTTAGGCTGTTGCCTGCTGCTCAACCTCAATGTTGGCACATGAAGCTAGTCACCAAAAGAATAGAGGGAAAAAACAATTGATTTCATAAAATTTTAATTAAACTTGTGCTGCAGCCACCATAATAATAGGCAATAGTACCGCGTGGAAGGCCACCCTTTTCCATTTTTCACATGTTTTTAAAGTTAAGTAGCAAAAATATACCCCCTATGCCTATAACTTTGGATGATGTATATTATCATGATCTCCATCCAACCCAACCTTCTAGATTCGAAGTGTATGCACCCTCCCCTCTTAAAAATACTATTTTCCAGGCTGAAACACATGTTAACCCTCACAATAAAACAACAAACCCAGTGTACTCTCTACTTCGCTGGGGGGAGGGGGGCAAGGATGTATTTATTATTACCCATTTTAAAAACAGAGGCTGTTTTCATTTGACTCATGATGCATTGATGCATTTACTTCCCAACACTTCATTTAAAGTACTAAGTTAGAAGCAAGGGAAGTTTATTTGCCATGTTTCAAAAAAACATGCAATATTCCCTTTCGTGTTTGAAAGTACTACCAAGTTTATTTCCTTTACTCTCTTTCATGTTTCAAAAAAAATCATGCAATATCCCGTAAAGGGGCGAACAATATCATACCTCAGCTTAATAATTGACAAATCTAGTTAAATACACACAAGAGTTGTACCTTGCCAGAATTTCAATTATAGCATACTCTTGGGGGACAACATGATAAAAACAAACTTGGAGATTCACGTGATTTCGTTTCTTGTTTTGTAGCAGTTGTGAGTGATTACTTAAGAACTCGTGATGTATGTATGTAGGAATTTATTAACAAGCGCAAGGAACCAGCACCAAGCATATATGGCACAACAGATACCGGACTTTCCTCATTCTCACGTTATGGAGAGTATCCCTCGTCGTCCTCATATCAGTCTCAGCAGCCCTTAGGAGGGGCAGGAGTTGTGTATGAATCCTCTAGCCTGGGAGGCTATGGCGGCTACAGGTATTGAGTGGTCTGCTTCTCGGGGCATTTGACCAATGGTTGGCTGTATCTATACCTACTACTATAAATGCTTCCTGTGGGGTTTTGTATGATGTTGAAGCTAACTCATTCTAAAAGAAACAATAATTTAGGCAAGAGATTTTAGCACAATAGCGTGACAATTCGTGGTTTATGTTCGTTTCATTTCCTTCAAATCTATTTCCAATGTACTTTTTTATAATGCCCGCTCGATGTGTGTGCTATAATTGGTGTGCTATTAGAACTTTCGTTTTTCTTGTTCATTACATAGTTTTCTAGTTGTTGGTTTTGTTGACTCTTTGACCTCATGTAGGATTGGGGCAAATACGTTTTACTCCGTATACTGTCGTATATTGTAATATGTTCTTTCATGTCTAGACGAGATTTATTTTTGATTGATATATTTTTGTCTGAGTTTTATTTTTGTTACCCCTAAGGTTTATAAGGTTTTTGATACTGTGCCAATGACTAAAATAAACTGTAGTAGGTTTAATCTTGTGGAGTACCAAGTTAACTTAGAAGTTTATGTCTCTGAGAATGATAATATGAAACTCCAACTATTCTCAGCTATTTTGATACATGTGAGACAGAAATAAACATATCTTTAGCCCCGTTTGTAATCGGTGTTAGAGATTAGCGTTGGCGTTTTGAAAAAGTTATCTGACAATAGCCTTTAGTGTTAGTGTTTTCAAAATTAATCTATATTGTTAAAATTTTACCTAAAATGCTAATGTTAATTGAAGTTCTAGTTCTCAAACAAGGCCTTTATAAACATATCTTATGTGAGAAGGGCTCATATATAAGATCTTGCACTTTCTTGCTCTTCCATCTCAAAATAAAGTTTACGGAGTACATTGTAAATTTTTGGGGTTTTTAAGTGTTAAACTTTGAGATGGGGTGAATAAATTTACTATTTCAACTCCCCAATTCATTTTATCAAGTCTTACATTAATTATGGAGTGATATTAGACCTGATGAAAAATCACTCTACTTGTTTTTTACTCGAAGTCTGACTTCAAAATACTGGGTTTTAGACAAAGATTTTGTTGACCGAACCCAAAATGATCTGCTAAATATGGATCAAACTAAAACTTAATCTGACCGACTTGCTAATATAAGAATTTTTTGGAATTATATACTTTACCCAGAAATATAATGTTATAGGTTATAATTATATTTTTTTCTCAGAAATTTTTTTAAATTTATAAATTTATAATTTTGGGCAAAACTTCAAGGATTTTGTATAACTATCTTTTTTTTTTTCAAAAGTTATGCATTTTTTACTTCTTTATATTGATTTATATACCTAAGAATAACTTCACAATTTAAAACAAAATACGGAGTAACATAATAGGTTTAATACCATAAAAAATATATAATAGAAAAAAGCAATTGTTAATATGAATTTTAAAATTTTAAAAACCAAAGCCATAATCCGTTACATCGATCCAAACCCGATGACACTGTGTCATGAACATATAAATCTCAACCCGAATTCGAATAAACCCAAACTCAAATTGATTTGAACCCAAAGTAACCAAATATGTACTTGACTTAATAGACCAATTTTCTAGCTCTAAGTGATATAATGCTTGCTTGAGTATTTAGCTTTAATGGTTTGAAAAAAAAGTTAACTAGCAAAAATGTTAAATTTTTACGTTTTAAAAGTTAATCTATACTATTAAAAAATACGGAGTAATCTAAAATGCTAATGTTGATTGAAAATGATGAACTTGCTAGTACTCGTATTTAATAATTGCAACATTTTGACTTGTATAATTGTTAATGGAATATATTGAGCATCAATAAATCTAATTATATACGGATTATTTGAATAAAACTCAAAATTTCATATTTTAACTATACATCTTAGACAGAATTTGATTTGATTTGATTTTTTTGAAAGAACTCTCGAACTAATTTTGTCTCGAATTAATATTTTTACTTTTTTTTGGAACATCCCAAACAAACATCTCTTTTTTATTTCTGAACATGTTTTTTTGGCTCAAATTTTTTCTTTCTCGCCATGCATATTGCTATACACCTTTACACTATGTTTGGTTCAAGGAATTTGAAAGGAAAAGAAAAGAAAATGAATTTTTCTCATATTCCATACTAAAATGAAAGGAATTTAGTTTTCTTTCTACTTAATACATTTTGCCTTCTCATTATATTTTTTTTCCACTTTTTCTTTCTTTTTTCTCTATAACCAAACAAGAAAAACCATTTTCTAATTTCATTTTCTTTTCTTTTCCCTCTCATATTTCTTAAACCAAACATAGTGTTAATAATCTTGAGGGAAAGACACTGAATTGAACCGAGTAAATCAAGTGAGTAACATGATTCACTGGCTTCATCTTAAAAGACCATAAATTTTGTGTTTATATGAAAGATTGACTATTAATTTAGGGTAAAGTGAGAAGATAACAAAAGAAAATGGAAAAAGATGGACAGATTCACGATTCTGTTCTCCATCGGACCCGCGATGCATGAAGATCGCAGAGAAAGAAATGATCTTTCTTGAACCTCTCCGGCGAAGCTTTTCTCATCATCGTCCTCCTCTTCTTCTATTGAATTTCTATTTTTTGTTAAACAAGTTTTGGTTTACTCTCTGGGCTTAACCCTCCGGGCAATAATTTCAAGGGAATTCACCTGAAAACGGGCTAAAATTGCAGATTGTCTTTGAACTGTGGTGTTAATTTGGAGTCCAGGTGAGATCTACTAATGACTCCGATTACCGTGCCTTGCGATTTTGGTTTAATTTGAACACTTAGGTCAAAGTTTTTTAATTGTTTGGATACGATTTCTGTGCAGGTGAATGACAAAGGTTGCTGATGGATATGGATTTGGAGAGGGATTTGATAAGTGATTTGCCTCAAAGCATCATAGAAACCATCCTAGTTAAGCTTCCTATAAGGGATGCTGTGATGACAAGCGCCTTGTCGAGCAAATGGAGGTATAAGTGGTCTAGCATTACCCAGCTGGTTTTCGATGACAATTGTGTTCCTAACACTTGCTGCGACAAATCGATTGTCGAGAGCAATCTCATACATTTCATCACGGGATTTTTGTTTCTTCACGATGGGCCTATTCATAAATTTGCATTATCTAGTTTGTGTCTGTCGAGCACGCCCGATATAGATCAATGGCTTCTTTTCCTTTCTAGGAAAGATATAAAGGAATTGAGCATTGAGTTAGGGGAGGGTGAATGGTTTAGAGCTCCTTCTTATCTCTTCTCTTGTCAGAAGTTGACTCGCTTGGAGCTGCTTCGGTGTGAATTGGAACCTCCTCTGAATTTTAAAGGGTTTTCGTGCTTGAAGCATCTCAATCTTCAACAAGTTATTATACCACCGCATGCCATTGAAAATCTCATCTCAAGTTGCTCTCTTTTGGAGGATTTGATGTTATCATACTTTGATAGTTTTGAGCTCACTATTCGAGCCCCAAAGCTCAAGTATTTAAATTTGGAAGGAGAGTTTAAGGAGATATTCCTTGAAAATACCCTGAATTTGGTTACTATATCTGTTTCCATGTATATGACTGACGATATAACAGAGCACTTTGTACAAAGCTCGGGTTGCAATTTTGAAAAGTTTCTTGGTAATGTCCCTCATATCGAGCAGCTTGCTGGGCATATTTACTTCACTAAGGTAAGATTTCTTGTATTTGGTGATGCATTAAGAATAATATGATTTATGTATGAGCAGGTTGCTGACTGTTCTTATATATTCTCCCTCTCCTTTTAGTATCTCAGTATAGGGAATGACAAAGAAAGCAATCCTATGGTTTACCTCCATCTCAAGGTTCTTGAACTATATCAAGTGAGTTTTGAAGACATAAATGAGATACTTGTCGTTCTTCGCCTGATTATAAGCTCCCCCAATCTAGAGGAGCTACATATTTCGGTATGCAATTATTCAAAAAAGCATCTCCTTTTATAGTTGTACGCCATCTGTTCACAAATAACAGTCCATGAACTAATGGCATTTTGTTTACAAATAATTGTGCGTTCTTAAAGAGATTTGCTGTGAACCACATGTGGTTTTCCTTGAAAGGAACCGAGGAAGCAAGGAATTATTTTGGGTTGGATGAGAAAGCAGAGAGTGAAGATTTTTTTTTAGACAGAGAAAGTATCATATTTAACAATCATTTCTAATGAACATTCTGAACATCGTTTTTGTTTTTTTGGTTTTCTCTGTTAGGGGTCCGCATACACACCAAGTGACTGTGAGGATGATGATGTTTGGGAGAACGGGTTGCCCGTTGGTTGTACTTTCAACAAGCTCAAACTTGTAAAGATAACTGATTTCTCCGCCGTATTGCACGAAATGGCTTTTATCAAATTCTTGCTTGCTCATTCCACAGTTCTTGAAAAAATGACGGTCTCGCCAAGTTACTGCACTGTGGATAAAAAATTGAAGGCACTGATTGAGTTGGTTAGTTATCGCCGTGCTTCTCCTGTAGCGACGATCCAGTTTACTTAAATGCAGTCCTAGATGAGGCCACAACTAACAATCCTTTACTGTTGGCAGCATATATGTTGATCAAGTGGAATTGTCAGAGCACTATAATAAGATGTTGATCAAGTGATTTACCAATAGCCTTGGATTCTGTTCTCAAAGACTAATACTATTTGAAGTTCAATTCTTTTAGTGATAATTTATTCTCTTTACAATGTAATTTGTGTCATGTAAAATACAGCTCACAACAATAACATCCAACAAACCCAATAAAAATCCCACAAACAATACCATTATGTGTACGCATATCTTACCCCTATTCGAAAGTAGAGCGGTGATTTCGATCAAGAGACCCCATGTAAAATAAAGTTTTAAAAGATGAATTCATGTCATAAAAGATTTATGATATACTGCCTCCATCCCTGAAAATTTCTCTTCTGTTTTCATCCGTACCAAAAAAATTCTTCTCATTTATATTAAAAAGTCGTTTTTACCCCTACTAATTCTTAAGCTACTTGTCACGTCACATCTATTTATTATTAATCTACCTATCAAATCTTATTTTTACCATCACATCCAAGGCCATTTTTGGAAATTCAACACCAAAATACACTTCTCTTTCTTAAAAATCACAATATCCCGTATTTTTAGGGACAGAGGGAGTAGTATTTAAGGGAAGACACCAAAACAATTAATGCCATTGCCCTTGAAAGAGGACAACATGAGATGAGACCCTTTGCACATTCTTAAATTTAATCACAGGATCATTCATTATTTCTATACTCACATTTCCACAAAATTTCTTTCACAAAAATATACAATCAAAAATTAGTTGCCATTTTTCAGAGGCATAATCATCACCTAGGACCAGAGAGTTCCATGGCTTGAACAAGAAGAGAGGAGTCCTCAGTAAGATCAGAATATCTATCTGAAGAAGACAACTCATTATTCAATCTGCTGCATTTGGTGGCAGCAGAAGAGGGTTCAACCTTCTGAGATGCTTCCCACTTCTCCGCGAGCCCGTCCCCTTCCAGCATTCTCACCACCTCCGACATCTTCGGTCTCTGGCTCGGAAGAAATTGTGTGCACAACAGTGCCACCTGTACTGTCTCCTCCAGCTCTATCCTGTCGTAGCAGTTCTTCAAGCCGTTGTCTACCAAAACATCAAGCTTTTTCTCCAGGTGAATCTTCTTCACCTGCAAATAATAATGTATGATCTTGCAATGGATATACTAGTATGTTGCTCTATCTCTTCAGTGTTGTTTAAAAACATTGAGTTTTTTCCGTCATTTACCCCTGGACTTAAGGAACGAGTTTGGAGTCAATTTTACAGTTAAAATGAGTACTCAAACCGGTGGTTTCAGAATTAGAACACGAACCAGCAGACCGATAATGTGTCCCCCACCTTATGAGATATCCAAAATTTCAACATCATTCCTGCCATACATCAAATTTAACGAATCAATTGGCGAGAATGTCATTCAAAATAGAAAATGGCGAGAATGTAGGCGAATTGAGGGTCGTTCTGTGTTGATATACGTGTTGGAGCTTGAAGAAGATGTCATGAATTGATGAAGATCTTGATCGATTGATGATGAGCTTTATGAAGTCTGGCCTTCAAATTCGGGTACCGACGACTAAATCGAGAATAATTATCTGGGGTTTAAAGTGGTTAAAAATATAGAAGATAATGTTTGGGAAGGGCATATTGCGGAACTCACATGTGATTTATCAATTTAGATGATTCCATACTTGCACTGGATGAACGTGTGATTAACACACTCCTATATCTGACGTAGAGGGACCATTGTTGCAACATTTTTGAAAGTTCAGGGGCATTGATCCAATAAGTCCATGGGGAAATCCGTGCAATTTTTGAAAAGTTCAGGGGTAAATGACGCAAAAAAAACTCTTAAAAGATTTTATACTTTTGTTCAGCTCTATCTAAACAATACTTCTGCAACATCATTATGAAGCAGAATCCCTTACCCAATCAAGCATGGCGCCTTTCTGGTTTGCTGCTTTACCAAACTCCAAAGCTCTCTGTCCAGTGATCAGTTCCAGCAAGAGTATCCCGAACCCAAAAACATCGGTCTTCTCGGACGATTGGCCCGTGGAGAGATATTCCGGCGCAATGTGCCCCACTGTACCCCTAACTGCAGTCGTGACGTGCGAATCACAATGATCCAAAAGCTTTGCCAACCCGAAATCTCCAACCACGGCCTCACAGTAATCGTCCAGCAGTATGTTGGCGGCTTTGACGTCTCTGTGGATGATTTTCGGGTCACATTGTTCGTGCAGGTACAGCAAACCCCTTGCAGCTCCCAATGCTATTCGCTTTCTGGTTCCCCAATCCAATGGCGGTTTACCTGGCAAAATGAGTTAATGAGGTATTGAGTTCAACCTTTTTGGAGATGGCATTGTTAAGAGTGAGTTTACTATTTTGCCCTCAATGTAAAGTCTTGCTAGCCCGTAAAGTAGAAAACTTTCCAAGGCGTTGAGCCCCGTTGGGACGCATTTTTAACGTGTCTACATTATCAAAAGTGGGAATGAAGTCATGAGGTCTATGTGAGTCCCATTTGAATTTAATGGAAAACACATGACTTTATTTCCAGATTTAGCAATGAAGTTAAAAGGGGAGTCCACAAAGGTGAGGGTAAAACAGTAAAACTATCCCAAAATGTCTATCTTAGGTAGGTGTACACCAAAAATACATATGGTAATTTTTTTAGCAAGTTAAAAATGAAGAAGCATTTTACCTTTTAGTCGAGAAGCTACGCTTCCATTGGACATATAAGGATAAACCAACAATCTTTCGCTCGAGGTCATGCAAAAGCCATAAAGCCTGAGGAGGTTCCTATGTACAGCCAAGCTGATCATCTCAACTTCTGTCTGAAACTGGACATCACCACTGGCTGTATTGCCATCTTTCAGCCTTTTTACCGCTACCATTGTCCCGTCTTGTAGACGACCTTTATAGACGTTTCCAAAACCGCCCTTCCCCAATAAGTTCTTGCCTGTGAAGTTGTTTGTGGCAACCTGTAGCTCTCTGAACTGGAACACCCTTAAATTTCCTAGGCACACTTCTTCCTTGTGTTGTTCTGAAGTCAAACAAACATCTCAACGTTAAAAAAAACAAAAACATTATCTTCTGTTTATGGAAACAAATCGTATTTTATTATTTGATGTATATTTTGTTAATTATGCTAATGATTGTAAATAATTCGGTTTCTTTGTGTCTTCCTATGTAATCTTGTCTAATACATACTCACCGTTAACGTCGAAGAATATCTGTTTTGTTCTTCGTTGTCCACACCACATTGAGAAACCAATCCCAACAATTACCAGACAGATACATCCCAGGCTTGAACCAAAGGCTAATGCTACTTTCTGAGTTTTAGATTTTACAGATCTCCGTTCACCTTTTAAAGCCAAAAGGAAATCGTGTTTGGTTAACAATCCATATATGTTAGCTTGCGGCTGGAGGCTCAGGAAAGATTTTATATTCTAAGGTAAAAAAAAGACACTGATATCATGTTAAATGTCAAGAAAGTACCAAAGGTGAAAAAGAAATTTCATACTTGGTGAATTGATGAAAGGGGAGGGAGGCACAGTGGTTGTCCCATTGCACTCTGACTCCTTTCCAGTTTTACATATCTTAGTATTCCCCAAGATGCTATACCAAGTAAAATTTACAGTGAGTAAATAAATTTTCTGGTTTGATCCCATTTACTCGGGGGTAAAAAAAGTAGAACACATCTCAAGAAGATTACTTGAAGGTTTTGGCAAGAAGACTTGGAACAGGACCTTTGAGATTGTTGAAGGACAAGTCCCTGAAACACACAAAATAGAACCCATAAATTATCTCCTAAAAAGTTACTATAAACATCCATAGAAACAAGTAAATAAAACTGCCATGGAAGTAAATAACAGTCTCCAGTAGAGAGGTAAGGAAAATTACAGAAATGTGAGCTGAGTCATATTAGCCAAAACCATAGGTATAGCTCCACTGAGACTGTTGTTGTTTAGCCTCCTACATCCACATTTAATATTAACAAAATCAAACACATTTTTGATTTTTTTTGTTAGAGAACAAAAAAATCAAAAGCTCAAGCTTGTGGTTATTGACTTGTAGACCTAGCTTGTTTTTTTAAAGAAATGGGTAACAGTGAGATTTTAACCCGTGACCTTTATATCAAAAGGGTTCGGGTAATGTGAAAGAACCAATTAAACCAAAAGTTCAAGCTTGTGAAGCGATGCTTACACATATTGCAGTGTTTTGATTTGAGCCAAAGAGGCGGGAATTTCACCGGTTAAGTTGTTTTCGGAGAGATCAAGTGTCTTGAGTCTTGGAAGGTTTCCAAGCTCAGCTGGAATCAACCCTGATATGTTATTGTTCTGCAGAAGCCTAAATACAAAAGGAAGAAGAAGTCATGGACATTATTATTACATGGAGGGAGTAGTGATCTGTTTGGTTGGTTAAAAAAAGGAAAAGAAGAAGAAGAAAACATACACAATCTCAAGGTGGGTCAGATTGCCAATATGGGGAGAAATTGTGCCACATAAACCTTGGCTTGGAATTGCCCTGCATCAAAACCATCACCCAGCAGCTCTCAGAATCGAAGTGTTGCAGTGAAGGAAATGGGCTATTAGTTAAAGGGAGAGTGAAAGTAATTAGGGAAGTAAGTAAAAGAAGATGGGTAAAAAGTAAAAACTCACAAGCCAACCACAAATTTATCAGGAGAACAAGTAACCATACTCCAGCTGCAGGGATCAACAGCATTTGCATCCCAATTCGACATCGCCCCGCGCGAATCGTCATCTAAAGAAGCCTTCATCTCCATCAATGCTTGAACTGCTCTCTTGCATATCAATGGAATCCCTGTAAAAGGTTACTACAAACAAAACAAAAAAAGACCCAGAGAAAGAAAGTATAAGTATAAATGAATACCTTCAAAATTGACACCATCAGGGGAAAGCATAGCTGTGGTGGTGTGGCAAACAAATGAGGCAAAACCCATCATCATCATCATCATCAAGTTCAGGACATGAAGAAATCCCATTTTTCTTCTGCTCAAAACAAGACACTGAAGAACAAGAAGATGCAAAAGAAGATAGAAGAATGAAAGTGGGTGGTGTGATATATATATGCAGTAAGTGTATCTATCTTGTAACAATTCAAAGTTCACTTTTTGTGCATTATTGTAGTTTGGGTGGTAGCATATCATATGAAAAGAGTACGGTTTCCCATGTTCTCTTTTTACTACTCCTTCCTATGCCCAATCAAAAGAAGAAGAAGAAAGAAAGAAAGAAGAAGGAGATGCAAAAGAAAGAAAAAGAGGTTTGTGTCAGTGGCTCAGGCCACCCCAATTAGCTCTGTCTGCAAAAGCAGATGCTTTGGTGGGGATAAAATGGTCATATGCTCCTCTTTGTGAAGAGATATATTAAGGGTATAATAAGGAGTACATAATAATAAAATATCTAAAATATTTTTAGAGGAATAATTGAAATGAATAATGAATGAAAAAAGTGTGGAAAAGAAAACTGAAAAGACAGTGGGAGGAAAAAGGGAAAAGATGAGCAATTATACATTGGTTAAGAGAAAGACTGGTGGCTCCTCCAGCCTTTGCTTGAGGATTTTTTTAAATTTTTTTAAATATAAATGAGAATCATTTCTTTGATTCAAGGATTAAATAGGAAAAGCATATAATGTGACAGAAATGTGAATAAAAGTTCAACTTATTATACTCCCTCCCTCCCAAAATCTAAGCAAGACTCAACTATTTAAAAATCACGAAATTTTTTATTTATTTTTGTATTTTCATTGAAAATTTAAAAAAATAAAATATTCTTGTCACCACTTGTTTTGTATAACTTTTGACTTAGTTTTTAAATAGTATGTGAATTTTATTTTTATTTATAAAGCATTATTTAAATAAAATGGAATAAAATATTAAAAAAAATACTTCATTTAGCGTAATGTTACATTTTGGGACGGAGGGAGTAATAAGGTGGTAAATGTAACTTTTGGCAGGAAGACCAATGAGTTTAGTGGTAGAGGTCTTGTCTTGTCCCACAAATCTTTGTTACTACACATTCTTTTTCACGCACTTCAATGAATTTACCACTCACTAACTTTTTTCATTAAAAAAAGAGAATCTTTCTCTAAATTTTTTCCCAATTTGTAAATTTACTTGCCCCCTCCCAATAAAGTTTGGATGGTGAAAATCACATCCAAACAAAATTTTACTCTAGGTATTATTTTTCAAATTACTCTTTGTTATAAATTCACCCCACTTAACATATTAATATTAGAATAGATTTATTTGGTTTATATACTCAGTAATTATTATAATTATGTTTTCCTTAATAATCTACTCTCTCTGTTCTTAAAAAGAGTTCCTATTTTGACTAAGTGTAAAAATAAGGAAGTATTAAATTGTAGTTTACTTCCAATTTTGTTCCTGATGTGATGGGTAAGAGTAAGATGTGATATATAGATTATAGATAAAAAATAGGATGTGATAGCTTGGATATGAAAAAGTAAAGGTAACAATGGTTTTTTAATAGAAAGTGGAAGTGTTTTATTGAAAGTAGAAAAAATGAAAGAGAAAATATTTTTGAGAACGGAGAGAGTACAAGATAGGAATATTGTATTATAAATAGCCCTTGTTAAACCAATGAGATCAAGAAATTATTCCAACTTTCATGGTATTAAAGGAGATTCAAATAAAAAAGTTTCATCCAATTCACCTATTTCATTTTTTTGTTAAAAACATTTTACTTATCATATCAAATCATTTCAATGTGACAAAAAAGGTGGAGAGTTTGACAAGTACTCTCTACAGTTTTAAAAGATTACCACAGTGTGACTTTTTTTTATTAAATTGTGATACTCTGTAATCATGAATTATAAAAAAAGTATATTTAGTCATGATATAAATTTAGTAAAATTAGATTTATTTTAAAATATAATTTTGAAATATCAAATTTTTATACTCCCTCCGTCCCCCATAGATCTTCCCATTAGCCCTTTTTATTTGTCCCACATAGATCTTCTCATTACCTTTTTTAATAATTAAAATACCACAACTACCCCCACTTACTTTATTTATTACACCTTTTCCACTTTATTTAATACACCCCACCCATTTTCATTAAGGGTATTTTGGTAAACTTTCACTTTTTTTCAACTCTCCTAAAAAACCGTGAAAAGTCAAATTGAGAACATCTTACATGGACGGAGGGAGTAATATTTAATTTTTTAAACTATATTTAGTTCATGATCAAAATCTGCCACAGTTTGACCAAAAAATCAAATTATAGTAATCTTTTAGAGACGAAAGGAGTATATTGCATCCAAAATTGGTTATCAATTTTAGTTTTTTTTCACATACTTTCTAACAAAATTATAAGCAACTCAATGAAAGTATGCTTGCCACCTTATAAATGCCTCTCTCCCACCGTCTTTTACCACGAATTAGATATAATTGATATTAGATATTCGGATAAAAAATTACTCTCTCCATCCCTAATTTAATTCCAAATTTGGATTTACGAGGAGAAATATCTTACTTTTTAAAATCATTTTATTTACAAACCGGTATATCAATAAAAAATAAAAATTACATATTAAAAAACTATGTCAGAAGTTCTACAAAACAAGATGTGACAAGACTATTTTATTTTATCAAATACTTAATAAAATCACGTAAATAAACAAAAATTATCGAGAGGAATGAAAAAAATTGTAATCTAATTGGGGATGGAGGGAGTATTACATTTATCTTATAAAATATTTTCAAAATATAATTTTTTTCTTATAAATATACCATATAATTTTTCTAATTATATATTTAAAGTTTTAAATGATCAACTATAAAAAGTCCAAACTAAATAAATTCTATTTTTTATGTAAGAATGTCCCTAATGAATTTTAGGTGAGTGCTTTTTTTTTCAATTTTGCATTGTGCTTTTCAACTCATTCATTCCTTTGGGTTTTACCATTTTGCCCTCGTAGTCATTGGAAACATATCAAGCGACATGTTTTACGGCCTAATGAGTCATTTAGATGTGATATGTTTCAAAATTCTGTTACAAAAACAGCATAAGTTAATTAGTTGAATGACCAGTAACTCCCTAAGTCAAAATCACGACTAAATTTTCTTGGGGGAAAGAAAACTCTTTGCTAAATTACCGGTCAAAGTTTGGATAATTTCACGAGATCTAACGAATTTATTATGTTTCAACGTGACCAACATCGAATTAAAATTCAATATTTTCTATAATATATTGGAATTAGCTTGATTACAATCACATAAATTGTCGAGGAAAATATTTTATCATGGAATAGTATTATTTTATAAATTATTGTTTAGATCAACCAGACTTTGATCAATTCAACTAATAATTCAAGTGGCGATTGATGTAGAAAAAGTAATACACATTGAAATTTTTTTCCTAAAAAATGTGGAAGTTTAAGAAAATATGTAACACACCAATATATTTTTGATGATTTTTTTAATATGGAATTTAATTAATCAAATATAGCTTTTAAAAACATGGAAAAATAAAGAATAAAAGGTAGACTTTTTTTTTGTTAACGATGGTGCTTCTTTCATCCTGTTTTTATCTTTGGGATTGCTTGACATCAGCGTTAGAGGTTAACGTTGTTTTGAAAAAGATATAAGATGGTAGCATTTAGCGTTAGCATTTTTAAAATTAATCTATACCATTAAAATTTTATCCAAAGTGTTAACGCTAATAAAAAAATGTTATTTCCAAACAATGTCTTAATATGAATGAACGCATCACTAGATAAATGGACCGTGCTACAGTGCACCCGCCCCTGCCTCCTTTGCTGCCTCCTTATTTAAGTTTTTTTTTACCTTTTCTCATTCTTTTTTTTCTTTTTTCTTTCCTCTACGACCCATTCGCAGGTCGCCGCCGACCGGTTCCCCTACCCTTCGCCGTCGACCTGTTCCCAGTCCCTCACCCCACCCTTCGCCGGCTTATTCTCGCCGGCCAGTTACCCTTCGCCGTCGACCTCTCCTTAGCCGCCGACCCAGCCTCTTCCTTCGCGGCATGTTCTTATCACTTTTACTTCTTTTCTTGAATTGTTACAATTTTTGTGTTATAATTTTTTGAATTTTTGTGTGTTAATTTTTTTGAATTTTTGTGTTATACATTTTTTGAATTTTTGTGGAGTACATAGGGTATTTGGTGATTATGGACTTACAAACATGTANAACATGTATTGTTACACATGTTGAGAATGATCAACCACATGATTTTGGTGGTGAAGAAGAAGACCTGGTTTTATATGACTTGCAGCCCAGTTGTAAGTGTTGATATTTAGACCCCATTCTATATTCATTTGAAGTAGTGAAAAAATACTGTTTTATTTTGGTGTTACAGAGATTAAAGTTCTGTGAACCTAGGGTTTGTCCTTGTCACAGATGCTAATAATCTGTATGCACTCTGCATTTGGTGTATTTTTGTTTTCTTCATAGTCAGGCATTGTATTATATTAAACGTGATGTTTTTTTGCAGCTTTTGAACCAGATTTGTTTCTTAACGATCCTTGTTTTCTTAATAGTCAGGTATTTTATTATATTAAAGGTACTGTAACAATGGTCAATGTCCTTCTAAAGGAAACAAAGGTAGCGTGCCTGAAGTGGGGATGAAGTTTACAAGCATTAAAGAAATTCGAGAACACTATCTGGCTTATGCTCGAAGTGTAGGATTTCCAATGCGGACTAGGACAACTCGCAAAGCCAAAGATAGAACTCCTAGAAGTGTTACATTTGTGTGTAATCGACAAGGAAATAAAAAGAGCAAGACACAAGATGTGTTCCACCCTTTTTGCTTTTTGTGTAAAGTATGTAACAAGTATGATAACTTTCTCTGAGTTCCCTGCACATAAACTAATGTAAACCTGATGTAACTCTGTCTTCAAATACATTAAGTCTTTGTGAAGTCTGTGACAGAGAAAGTT